TCTGTCGCCACTCTCGTCGTGTGAACCAAATTTCCCGCTCACCCAACACCCGCCCACTGGGTATAAACGCATATGCGACAAAATCCCCACCCTCGTCGGCGACACGAGGCCGAAACTGCTAAACGCATATGCTAACAAAATCCGCCCGCAGAAACGCGACATCTGCGAACCCGATGTCCCGTGTGCGATGAGCCTGACGAGGGGATTAACCGTCGTCGTTGGGGGCGTCCTACTCTTTGCACAGGACCCGTAAATCGCGATCCGTCGCATGCCGCTGGGCGAGAGCACCAAGTGAACGAGGGCGTGTAAGATTTGAGAAAATAGCTAGAACGGGTTTCTCGTCCGAACTCTTTCAGTTTGGTATGATGGTCCGACTCACCTTTCCTTTCCTTTCAGTTTGGAGAAATTTGCGCAGTGTTTTTCGCGCAGGGTTTATCATGGATAAACACCTTCGCTAACCCGCCAAAATGGAATGCACCTGTTGGCATGGCATTTCGGGAAAGGGTTCAACTTGCGAAAACTGTTCAACTTGCAACAGCTGTCCTAATGCAATCGAGCAATTTGCTTAGGAAACTGGGTTTCCCGTTCAAACTCGTGAGAAATTTGGCAATTCGCGATTCGCTGGACCATCCTGATGTGGCAGCTGGAAGTTAGGGCAGGCATGGTCCTGAAACTAGGCGAGAACACATAGGACTTTCGCGAACTTCGCCGTGCAGCAACTCCGCCGCAAGCCGTGGTCATCACGCGAGCACGCGCGGAGAGCATTCAGAGGATTTCGAATTTCTAAAGCGCGGCATCGAAGCGCATGGCGTCGTACTGGTTCGCTGCGACTCGCAATTGTAGCGAGTCGCATTGCGTGCAAGCGTGTAACCGAGTTTGCTGATGACCCGGGACCCGTGTTCGGAGCTCCGCTGTGCGCAGCTCCGCCGTGCGCATCTACCCCAAGCAGGTCGGCCCTGTCCTGCCATAGTCTTTCCAGGTCCGCCCGAGAGTTTCACTCACTATGCGTGACTGCATCCCTCCCATTCCCCCGACCTAATTCTGACACGTTACAGTCTCACGACTCCGTTCCCCCTCCGCACATTCCAGGTCGCTTCAAGTGAGTCTCTCTCTCTCTCTCTCTCTCTCTCTCTCTCTCTCTCTCTCTCTCTCTCTCTCTCTCTCTCTCTCTCTCTCTCTCTCTCTCTCTCGAATGGCCCTTTCATTGATTGATACAAGATCATACAGGCATGCAAGGTGAAAACGGGCGGATGTCTGATGCATATCCCTCAAACTACGCACACATCGGCTCTACCCCCCCCCCCCCCCCCCCCCCCCCCCCCCCCCCCCCCCCCCTTAAGCTAGGTCCAGAGCGGGATCCAGGACCAAGAGGCAGTCCCCTAGGGACGGGGCCTCCCCCACTGGCTCTAGCAGTGGGTATTCTACGGCAGCCGCTATGCTGCACTTTTCCAGGTAGCCAATCGACTGCCCCCTTTGAAGAGCCACCGACCACCGCTGCCGGTATTGGTGTAAAAGCTTGGCAGCTTGGTAGGAGGTGGGCTCGGCGTTGAAGAACCGCCTTGCAGCTCTTTCCGCGAGCAGTTTCAGGAAATCCACTGTCTCTGGGCATGGGCACCCATACGTCTCGACCGCTAGTGGGATCACCCACTCTGGGCGGTCCGTGTACAAGCCTTGCTTCTTGTCTGCAGCTTCTCGTGCTGCCCATCCCCGCCCCTTAGATGCATTCTCGTCGCGGGTGCTGATGGGGTCCGTCACCGTCACATCACAGATGTAGACGGCGCCGGTGGAGCGGCATCGTAAGGCCAAATCCGCCTTCTTCTCCTCCACAGGGCTGAAGGCAGCCGTTTCTATGTGCACCATGAATCCGGCATCACGCGCCATCCGTGCACACTCGTCTCTTAACTCATTGTGTGTGTTTGTGCGTCCCCCCCCCGTGCCGCAGCGTAGCAGGTGGTTCGGTAATCGTTTATCTGGGATCTTCACCTTCTTTGAGCAGTTGCAAACCCCCGGAGCCGCGAAGGGGAGGCCCAGCTGAAACTGGACCGCGTTGGCATAGTGGGGAGCCTCAAGGCGTAGCGAGGAGTGGAGGGGCACGGCGTTTAACCAGTCCCCAGCCCCGTACCCTGACAGGGACAGCAGCCGCTGCGTGTGACCGTGGTTGGGGTTTGGCCTCATCCCCCGCGTCTCCTCCACCTGCACGGCATAGCGCTGGCCCTGGACAGCCGTGGCCAGGCCGTGCTGCAGCTTTCCCGCGGTTGGAGCTATTCTTTCAGCTTGCAGGGCCTCTTGTGCTGGCAAGGGAAGCTCCTCCTCGCAATCCGCTAGCCATTCGGTCAAAGGGGAGGACCGCGTGTAGGGGCCGCGCATCAGCTCTCGTGTAGCTTCCAGTGGGCCGTTGCACTCGCCATCAAGGGAGTCGAGCAGCAGCTGCGCCTGCGTGTAGCTGGCGAGGAAGCTGTAGCCTCCTTCCACGGTGGGGTCGGTCAGCCCGAGCCCTCCCAACGACACGGGGAGAGAGGCTTGCGCCCACGTGCGTGAAGTTTCTTCCCCGCGCGGGTGAATGATGCCGCATGCCGTCAGGAGCGTTTCCAGCAGCCTCCTTCCCCATTCGGACCACTCCTCCTTGGGCAGGGATGGCAGCGGCGTCGTGCGGGCTAGGTAAGACACTCGGCGCGAAATGCACCGAGATAACAGCAGCCCCGCTAGTTGAGGCTCCATGTGCTCAATCAACCCCAGAGGTGCTCCCATTGCCTCCAGACTGGACCGCACAAAGGCTGATGTAGCCGTGTTGGTGCCGATGTAGCTTCCCAACACCTTCTTGGGCGGCCCATCTGACCATGCCCCGCACTTTGCAGGGTTGTGTCTCAGCCCGATTTCTGCTAGGCGGCTCGTGAAGTTGTTAAACGCAGCTGCACACGACGACGGTTCTCCCAAGAAGGTGACATCGTCCGCGTAGGCAAGGCAGATGACGTCCGGATGTGCCTCCGCGGCCGCCTTCAGGGCTGGGTGCATGGCTGCAGCAAAGAGAAGGGGGCCGAGGGGATCCCCCTGGCGGACCCCCGTCTCGCTGAGCAGGGGCGGGTGGTTGAAGGCCGCGTCCAGGTGCAGCGTGGACGGCTGGCCGTAGGAGAAGTGTACCAGTGGCAGCAGCGGTTCAAGCTTCGAGCTTTTCAGGGCTGACGCTATGGCGTGGCGGTCGACACTATTGAAGGCGTTCGCCAAGTCAGCCTGTAGGACCAGCGCGTTCTTGTTGGCCGCGGTGAAGGTTCGTACGACGTGAATGACCGCTTCAGCTCCTCCAGGGACAGCCACGCCAAATTGCAAAGGTAAGAAGAACTCTCGCGCGGCTTCTGCTAGCTGGGAAAGCGCGGCCTTTGCTGCTAATCGGAGGATACACTCGCCTATGGCAATCGGCCTGGTTCCTCCGTCAGGCTTATCCAGGGCTATCAGCCGAGATGCAGTGAGGAGCTGCCCTACCTCCGCGCCCAGCTTTCCGCGCAAGATGGTGTTGACTAGTGCGTGTAAGTGGGTGCTGACTTCAGTGTGCATCAGGGCTGCCTCACGCAGGTGCTCGAATGTCATGCCTGAAGGGCCCGCCCCTACCCCATTCTCACATTTCGAGAGTAGCTTCAGGAAGACTTCCCGTGACACAGACAGGTAAGAGTCTGGTTCGGGTTCGGGCCACGGAGTGCCAGGGCGCTGGGCGCTTGGGTGTTTGGCGCGCAGGGATTCCAGAACCTCACGGGATGGCTTGCTGACTGGCGTGGCTTCAAGTGCCATAACAGCCCTCCTCAGACTGCCACGTCGCGCTAGTCCTTCGGCTCTGGAGATTCTCCCAAGGTTATCTGGCTGATGCCTTGGGGGGGCAGGGTGCAGCAAGGAGGGGGAGGGGCAGATGAGGCACGAGTGGGAAGGCTGGCTGGCAGACAGGGCACTGTTTGTGGTCTTCCTGTAATGGAAATGCATAAACCCTAGCTTACGAAAGCTGTTTGTGAGCATGGCCTGCATCGACCTCTCACATCAAAAGACCAAGCAGTACAAGGACAACATAACAACATTTGCGCAGCGGTGGCCTTGCTCAACCTTGCTCACCTGCCTTGATCCAAACAGAGCTCAACTTTCCTCTCCTGCCTTGCCATCCTCCCCTTCCTCGCCCTCCTCACCCTCCACCTCGCCCTCTTCACGCTCGCCCTCGTTCCCTTCCAGGCCTCCATCTTCTGATCTCCTCAACCCCTCTCTGCTGCCTGGCCTGTTTCTTCCACATCTGAAGATTCGTCCTCCAGGGTCACACTGGGGAGCGTGATGAAAAACTTTCAGGCGCCGCTGGATGTTTGGTGGGGTTATTATGGGAGGAATTGAGTGCAGGGACTGTGCCAGCCTGCAATGTTCCACCAACATTCCTTTCACCGAGTGGCTCAGAGTGATTGAAATGCTTTGTGTGCTGCCCAGCCGGCTGCCCGACCTCTCTTTGTGCTGCCCGCCGCTACCTGCTACTGGCTCGCAACGCAATGCTCCGCTGATGGCCTCAAAGTTGACCCTCCTCCCAGATGGTGCTTTACTTGATCGATACCATCTGTCTCATCTCATTGATGTCATGTAATTTATGTACCGTATTATCGGTAGTCAGATCAGATTCTCTCTTCAGTTATATCAGAGGCCATTGTGGATATGAGTAATACTGGTTTTGATGCTTCGGATGTCAAACAGGTGTTTTATGGATCATCAAACGACTAAACCCTCTATTTCTATGATGCGTAGGATGCGGAACAGGTTTTTGATAGATGATGCCACAACCCAAGCTTGAAGACCTATGATGGATGGGATGAGCACGAGCAGCATTGGGATGGCTTGATTGAATCAGACGGTGTGGAGGAGCTTGGACGAAGCAGCACTGCTGGCGGCATTCCATTGGAAGTGCTGCTGCGGCCATGCGCCTCTGAGAATGTCATTTGGGGTGCGGCCATGCTAATACCGTAACTACCTCTGCTCAGAGCAGGAGACTACTGTGGTCCGCCCATGCCGCCTCCCATGTTGCCCCCAGACCCTCCCATCCCTCCGGCCGTCCCTCCCCCCATCCCTCCACCCATCCCTCCGCCCATCCCTCCGCCCATCCCTCCCCCCATCCCTCCGCCCATCCCTCCGCCCATCCCTCCGCCCATCCCAGGTCCACCCTGGCCGGTTGCTGCCTGCGACCCTGGAGCAACCCACCCTGACCCGCCCATGCCTCCACCGCCCATGCCTCCGCCGCCCATTGCTCCGCCGCCCATGCCTCCGCTGCCCATGCCTCCGCCGCCCATGCCTCCGCTGCCCATTCCGCCGCCGCCCATTCCGCCACCACCCATGCCGCCGCCACCCATTCCGCCGCCACCCATGCCGCCGCCGCCCATTCCGCCTCCGCCCATTTCGCCGTCACCCATGCCGCCGCCGCCCATTCCGCCGCCGCCCATTCCGCCACCGCCCATTCCGCCGCCACCCATGCCGCCGCCACCGCCCATTCCGCCGCCACCCATGCCGCCGCCGCCCATTCCGCCTCCGCCCATTCCGCCGCCACCCATGCCGCCGCCGCCCATTCCGCCGCCGCCCATTCCGCCGCCACCCATGCCGCTGCCGCCCATTCCGCCGCCGCCCATTCCGCCGCCACCCATACCGCCGCCGCCCATTCCACCACCGCCCATTCCGCCGCCACCCATGCCTCCGCTGCCCATTCCGCCGCCGCCCATTTCGCCGCCACCCATGCCGCCACCGCCCATTCCATCGCCGCCCATGCCTCCCCTAGGACCCACGGATGATTGCGATCCGGGAGCAGAGGAACCAGGTCCGCCCATTCCCCCTCCCAGTTCGCCGCCGCCCATTCCGCCGCCACCCATTCCGCCGCCGCCCATTCCGCTGCCGCTCATTCCACCTCCACCCATGCCACCGCCGCCCATTCCGCCGCCGCCCATCCCGCCTCCGCCCATGCTGCCGCCGCCCATGCCTCCCCTAGGACCCATGGATGCTTGTGATCCGGGAGCAAAGGACCCAGGTCCGCCAATGCCCCCTCCCATTCTGCCGCCGCCCACTCCGCCGCCGCCTATTCCATCGCCGCCCATGCCTCCCCAAGGACCCATGGATGCTTGTGATCCGGGAGCAGAGGAACCAGGTCCGCCCATTCCCCCTCCCATTCCGCCACTGTCACCCATTCCGCCGCCGCCCATTCCGCCGCCGCCCATCCCGCCGCCGCTTATTCCGCCGCCGCCCATTGCGCCGCCACCCATGCTGCCGCCGCCCATTCCGCCGCCGCCCATTCCGCCGCCACCCATGCCGCCGCCGCCCATTCCGCCGCCGCCAATTCCTCCACCGCCCATTCCGCCGCCACCCATGCCGCCGCCGCCCATTCCGCCGCCGCCCATTCCGCCGCCACTCATGCCGCCGCCACCCATTCCGCCGCCGCTCATTCCGCCACCGCCCAATCCGCCGCCGCCTATGCCGCCGCCGCCCATTCCGCCGCTGCCCATTCCGCCGCCGCCCATTCCGCCGCCACCCATGCCGCCGCCGCCCATTCCGCCGCCGCCCATTCCGCTCCCGCCCATTCCGCCGCCGCCCATTCTGGTCCCACCCATTCCGCCGCTCTGCTGCTGCTGCTGTGGCTGCTGGCCGTTCGAGCGTCCTCCTTGCGCCCATCCGCGCATCATCCCGCGCAGCTTGTCTACGCGGATCCCTGACGATAAGCGATAAGCCAATGTAGTGTGGAGAGACGAAACCAGAACAAGCGAGAGTAGGAGAAAGGCCGTGCTCAGGTTACGGCGACGACACCGGCTCATCGAAAACGTGTCTGTGTGCGTCATTGTGCTGGTGTTACCTACTTTCCACGCAGAAACGATTTTAGCTGCCTTGGAAAAGGAGAATCAGGCCAACGAAATCTGAAATTTGAAAGCCAGCTTCAGACGAACGATGATGATTTGCCAAATGTGTCCCTCTCCGAAAGCATTTTGTACTCTCGTCATGTCGCAACGCAAATGCCCACGCATGCTGAAGGTCTCTGCGCGGCGCGAGGACTCAATGGGAGCAACGGGTGAATGGACAGAGCTTCCATCGAGTCAAAACAAGAACTCGAGTCAACCCCCCATGAAATTTTATTGACCACTTGCTTCAGTCAAAACCGACTTTTCCTCCCATTGAACGAATTGCGAAGAAACTGGAATCCCCGATTGCATTCTATTTCCGATTACTGAACCGTGTTTCTCTATCACGTCAGATCACATAGTTTTAAACTCATACTACAATATGTCCATTTGTTATAATCAAGCTGATTGTCTCTCTTGCATAGGAGTCATTGTATCATAACATTACAAGTCATGACATACAAACTATCAGGGCCGTACAGCTATCAAGAGATTGAACCCACAGTTTCCAAGTGCAAACATTCAAAACCATTACTTGAATTTCCAGCAGTTGATCAAAGCCTATGACGTGGCGCCTTGCAGGTCAGCAGCAACAGAGGCCTCCATGGCCCCCTGTGCTGACAGGGCCTTCTTCACTGTCTCCTCCACGCGCCTCCGCAGCCCCTTGTAGGGCAGCTTGTCCACCACCTGGTTGGGCGGGGGAGAGGGGGCAGGGGAGGGGATGTGGAGGATGCAGAGTAAGTGTGGTACCACCACAGCACACTTTGCAGCTGTCTCTTCCACGCGCCTCTGCAGCCCCTTGAACGGCAGCTTGTCCACCACCTTGATGGGCAGGGGGAGGGGGGGGAACGTGGAGGATGTAGAGTAAGTTTCTAAACCGTCTCCTCCACGTGCCTCGTCAGCCCCTTATGGTGCAGCTTGTCCACCACCCGATAGGTATATGACAAGGGGGGTGGAGGGGAGGAGAGTGAGAGGGGAGGAGAGGTGAATGATTTCGAGTCAGTTTCGTGCCTCCTCAGCCCCTAGTAGGGCAGCTTGTCCACAACCTGGATGGAAGGGGCAGTAGAGGGAAGGGGTTGGGAATTGGTGATGGGAGGATGTTGAGTGAGACGATTTCTGAGGCGCCTCAGAAGGCGTTGGGAATTGGTGATGGGAGGATGTTGAGTGAGACGATTTCTGAGGCGCCTTAGAAGGCGTTGGGAATTGGTGATGGGAGGATGTTGAGTGAGTTTGGCACCACACAGAGCCTTCTTCACTGGCTACTCCACGTTCACTGTCTTCCACTGTCTGCCTTGTTGCCGTTGTAGGGCAGCTTGTCCACCACTTAACGAAGAGGGCGCGGGGAAGGGGAAAGGATGTGGAGGAAAGACGGGGCCAGGAGGGAACAGGAGATAACGTCAGGTGTATATGAGTACTTGTATTATACCAGTTTTGAGGTGCCTCAAAAGATCACGTCAGGTGTATATGAGTACTTGTATTATACCATGCGCAGAATATCTCTAGCCTCAATGACCCGTCAATCGACCCAACCGCGTCCGCCCCTCCTCAATGACCTCAGCAAGGAAGAAGAATGCAAAGGCGGACCAGAGGGGGCAGTCATGGACCAGAGGGGACAGTCATGGACCAGAGGGGGCAGTCATGGACCAGAGGGGGCAGTCATGTGCTTGATGCTACTTTCTCAAAAGCCTATGTCGCCCATCCCCTTCCCCCTTCCCCTTTGCAATTGTCCCCCTGCCCTTTCCCCCCTGCCCTTGCCACACACCCACCTCAGCAGCGAACGCGAAGACAAGGGCGGAGTGAACAGTCACTTCGTGGGATTGATCACTCGGGGGCGGAGTGAACAGTCACTTCGTGGGATTGATCACTCGTGGGCGGAGTGAACAGTCACTTCGTGGGATTGATCACTCGTGGGCGGAGTGAACAGTCACTTCGTGGGATTGATCACTCGGGGGCGGAGTGAACAGTCACTTCGTGGGATTGATCACTCGTGGGCGGAGTGAACAGTCACTTCGTGGGATTGATCACTCGTGGGCGGAGTGAACAGTCACTTCGTGGGATTGATCACTCGGGGGCGGAGTGAACAGTCACTTCGTGGGATTGATCACTCGTGGGCGGAGTGAACAGTCACTTCGTGGGATTGATCACTCGTGGGCGGAGTGAACAGTCACTTCGTGAGATTGATCACTCGTGGGCGGAGTGTACAGTCACTTCGTGGGATTGATCACTTGGGGGCGGAGTGAACAGTCATCTGATCAATCCCACGAAGTAGAAAAGCTGCTCTGCTCGTCGTCCAGGTGGCTGATGGCCTCCCCTGTCTCGCTTTCCCGTGCCTCCCTCCATCCCCCCCAACCCCGTCCACCCTTTCCACTCACCTCAGCAGCAACTGAGAACACAAGGGCGGACCGAGCAGTCATCTGATCAATGCTGCGCGTGCGGAAGTAGAAGAGCTGCTCGTCGTCCAGGTCGCTGATGGCCTCCCCTGTCTCATCCCATCCCCCTCATCCCCTCTTCCGCCTCCATTCCCTCGTCTTGACTCACCTCAGCAGCAAACGAGAACACAAGCGCAGAGCGAGCAGTCATCTGGTCGATGCCGCGCGTGCGGAAGTAGAAGAGCTGCTCGTCGTCCAAATCGCTGATGGCCGCGCCGTGAGTGCACTTGACGTCATCTGCTATGATCTGCAGGTTCGGCTTCACGTTGATGGTGCCGCGCGGGACCAGCAGGAGACTGCGCGACAGCTGCCCTGCGTCCGTCTGCTGGGCGAGCCTGGTGTGTGTGGGGTGGGGAAGGGAGAGAAAGTGAGCAGATGTTGGGCCAATCTGCAGGTTGGGCTTCACGTTAATGGTGCCTCGGGGCACGAGGAGGAGGCTGCGCGACAGCTGCCCCGCGTCCGTCTGCTGGGCGAGCCTGGGGGAGGGGGGCGGGGGCAAGGGAGAGAGTGTGTGCAGGTGAGGAGGAAAAACACGTTGGGCCGGTCTGCAGATTTGAGTTCACAGTGATATTGCCACCGAGGAAAGGACTAGCAGCAGGCTGCGAGACAGCTGCCCCCTGCCTGTCTGCTGGGCAAGCCTAGTGGGGATGAGGGAGTGGGATGGAGGCACGAGTTCAGATGGGGGAAGAGAAACACATTGGGCACGAGCGGGAGTGCAGATTCGAACATTCGCCCAGCCTCAGCGAACTCGCCCACACTCACTTGTTGACCTTGACGTTGCCGTCAAACACGCACTGCCCCGTGGCATCAGACGCGATGCACTTGGTCCCACCAACCCAGTCACTTTCCAACCATCATACCCCGCACCCACATTTGCAGCACCTCACAATTCACTCACTGACCCAGTGGATTCCCCACTCACTTGTTGACCTTGACGTTGCCATCAAACACGCACTGCCCCGTGGCGTCAGACACGATGCACTTGTGCAACTGCCGAGTCACGCCGCCCGGGAAATCCAGCACCAGGCTACTGTGCAGATCCTGCACCTGCCTGCCGCCCGCCAGCGCGAACGTGTCCACGTGTGTCTCTGTCTTCTCCCCCAGCTGCTGCATCTTCAGGTTGTGCCTGGATAGCGCCGCCCCCAGCTGCGCCTCCACCAGAGAGTACCTGCTGCTCTCCTCCTGGTGGGGTGCAGTAGTGGGGAAGGAGGGGAATGGGTGCCGCAATGAACGTTACTGCACGCGGGGGTTGGCTGGGAGAGAAGGATAGCGCCGCCCCCAGCTGCGCCTCCACCAGAGAGTACCTGCTGCTCTCCTCCTGGCGTGGTGCGATGTGGGAGCATGTGTAATGGGACGGGCTGACTTTTGAGTCGACTCAAAAGTCATCCTGGCGTGGTGCGATGTGGGAGCATGTGTGATGGGACGGGCACAGATGTGAGGGGGAAAGATGGGGAGATGGGCGCAGATGGAAAGGGGGAAACGGGGGCAAGGAAGAGGCGGAAATGGAGGAAATGAAGACGGGAGTTGAAATCCCAGTGTCGAATGGATCATTAAACGAGACGGGGGAAGGAGGGAAATGCGGCAGGAGGCAAGGGAAGGGGAGGGGAAGAGAGGGAGCGGAAGGGAGGGAGTGGTGGAGGGAAGAGGGTTTGCATTTGGGTGAGAGGGGGTGCGAGGGAGTGCCAAGCCCATTCCCACCACATTGCACTGTCCGCACCTGTGCAACGAACGTTCTCTTAATATTGAAGCAGTCTTTAGCGGGTTGGTTTTGGATCACCGCGTGGCTCACGCTCCCCTCCGCGCCAATCACAATCTCCGCCACCGCGTTCACCCACTCCCCCTTTCCCCCGCCCGCGGAAGCTCCCCCCACAAACTCCTCCACCACCTCCACTTCCGCGCCCGCTTCCGCCACCACCAGCAGGCGCGGGGAAGCGGGGACGGGGGAGGCGGAGGAGGAGGCGTAGACAATGTGGATGGGGTGGTTCGGAAGCTTGACATTAGCGGGGACGGCAATAACGAGGACGTCCGCGGCGGACGCGCCGTTAAGCGCGGCGAAGAGGTCCGCTTGCGCGGCGAACCTGAAGGGGAGGGCGGAGAAAACAGAGGTTGGTTGGAACAAGTCAGAAATTGAGGAGAACAGTCGGCCTGAGACGTCAGCAGGATGAAATTCTGGGACCGACAGAGACTTCTGTTGAGGCGTCTCAAAAGGAAGCATGCTGGCTGACATACTGGGGCGGACAGGGAACTTAAAAAGACTTGTAATGAGATGACTGTGACAAGGTAATGTACAACATTATGGGCCCCTTAGAAAACAGGGAGTGTTGGGGGTGATGGAGGATGGGAAGGGCGAAATGTTGGAAAATGAAACCCGGACCGTTTCCAACCAGCCACACATGAATCTCTCTCACTCATATTCGAGCCTCGTAAAGCCGCACCTTTCTGTCCCATGCGTCACTCTTCTTACTCGGCAACTTGTTTCCTTGCTTTCCATTCCATTCACCATCTTCTGTTCCTTCTTCCTCTTAGGTTCGTTTTCGAGTCCTTGATACTTCTTCATGCAGACACTAAATGTGCACACACCCACCTGCCGAGGTTCGGCGCAACGAATCGCTCCACTTCTTCCGTATTCAGCTCACTCAGCAGCTTCACCGTCATTTGCGCCGGAATTCCCGTCAAATCCGACAGCTCCGGCCGGATAGCGCCGTCAAGCACAACAAGCCGGCTGTTATTGGCCTCTTCAAGCGTGTATTCCGCTAGAACGTCTGCTGAAACCACCTGCGACTCGGACCCTGTCGCAGCGCCTTCTAAAGCCTTGTCGAGCATCGCGCGGAGAGATTTTAAGTCTGTGAAGCGGAATTCCTCATCCTTGCGGCCCGGCCACCGCAGGACACGGGCTGATTCTGCAGAAACATTTCTGAGCTGCTCGAGAGCGGCAGCCGCAGGGAATGCGGCGTCTGACGGGGCAGGAAGGGAATATTTCGCGACGAGGCTGTGCACGAAAGTGTCGCTGGGGCCGACGGAAGTGAGGATCGCAGCTGCGGCGTTCGCATCAGCTTGGTCCCTAAGCGACGTCGGCGACGATTGCGACGACTGTGCGACTGTTGCGACGAGAGCGGGCGACGAGCGCGCGAATCTCCTGCGCGAAGGAGCAGCAGAGACGGCCCTCTTGGCGGTCACAGGCTCGTGACCGAACAGGTCGGATTTGAGACTGGTAGCTGCTGAGCGGGATAGCTGCGCGCTGAGGGCTGCCATGGTGGTGCAATGCTCTGAAGAATAGATAGTCTAAAATTCGTGCAGCAGAGGTTGTGCGAAGAATACGTCAGTGAGAAATGCTCAGCCGCTTCAGCGGCAATGAATCGCGAGTCTCGATTCAACGATGACAGTCAGAGAAAACACTTCTGACAGCCCAGGATCAATCGCTAAACTGCGAGCGAGGACTAGCTACACGCGTCGCCGCAGCAAAACCAAGAGCATGAACCGAGCGACAGGTGGAGGCAGGTTCAAGATAAAATGGATTGCTAGTGGCAAAAAGATGCACCCGTGACGATGGGAAGGCTTTTTGGTGAAGACGAAGAGGACACTGTGAGTGAGGAAATCTCAAGGTTCAATTTCCTCTCTGTTCTCTTGGGGGCGTGGATGACACGTGGCGGCCACCACATTCGTTCCTGACCCACATGCTGCCAACATGGACAAAAATGTTCATGAACTTGCAGGACCTCGTGGTTCGAGACCTGTATAGCATCAACTACACCGTAGAACTTGAAATCATTCTAAACCTACAAGTGATCAAAATCAGTGACTAAGGTGGCTTCACTAGAACTCTTGCGAAGCAATGCCAGTACAAATGAGGGCATATTAGAGTAAACATGATGTGCCTTCAAATATTTGTAAACAAGAACCAACAAAGGGATACAGATTTATTCTTGCAAAAATGATCTGATAGTGAAGCTTAGGGCAAAATAGGGCCCACTCTGTGACCAAAAAGACACTAGGACATCTAAATTCTGTAGCCTCTCGCTGTCAAGAATCTAGCAATGGGTGGGGTGAGCGCCAAGGTAATGGGGACACGGACAGGAATCAGAGCCTTGTTGCAGAGCCAAGCAACAGCCAAAGCACCACCACTTCCTATCAACCCAGCAGCTGCTGCTCCTCCACTCTCAGTGGCTCCTCCACGCCCAACGACTACATTCGCGCCAATAGTACCTGTACTTTCACCAGAGGATTCTGCTCTCGCCTGCTCCCTGGTCGTTACTGATAATCCTGGGTCGGCCTTTCTGCCAGCTACGCCGGAAGAGGAAGAATCTGGCAGACCGGCCGAGCTTAGATCGCTTTCTGAGAACTCTGTTTTGCGTTGTAACGAGTCGGCCGAATGGGACGTCGAGGGAGCAGCAGCATCGGTCGGAGGCGCGGAAGACGGGTGGGTGGGCGAGGGGAGGAGGCCTACTCTGTTTAGCAGCCCTTCCACATCGATGCTGCTGCGGATGGCAAGGTACAGGCCCGCAAACGACACGGTTGACACGCCGATGTGGACGGCGACAGCCAGGCGTCCGTACTGCGCGATCGCGGTGCGAAGCAGCGATGTCGTGGAGGTGGCTGCTGGGGACGGAGGCATGACAAGCAACGGTATGGCTAGAGACTGTCTAAATAAGGCCGAATGAGGTACACTTAGAGCGTTTACGAGAAAAGCAAGGCTGGCGATACCAATGGCCGCTAAGCGTCGAATATCATGGTAGAAATCGTCGACGGACGCGACGCAAGGACGAAAAGATATCAACTTCTGAAGCTGTCGACGACATACCTAAGCAAGATCTAGAACCAAATCGCGAGGCGATCAATCCTGAAAAAGATATAATGGAAGTAGTTATCAAGTGCACATTCTTGCGAAAACATCTAACAGCAATACAGCGTCATTCTATAGAGGCGTCAGCGCGTTTCGCCACACGTGCAGCCCATGAGCTTTCACTTTGGTTTGGTTTGGAAAGAAAGCTTTGGTTTGGTGGCGGTGGGTACTGTACAGTACACACGCCTGAACGAGGTTGTTCCCAACTAACTTCACCCGTTGGATTGTCCACAGTCGCCGTCTGTTTCCATTTCCGCCGTACGTACAGCCAGAGCGTTTTGGCTGGTGTACGACCACCAGCCAACCATCGCTCGACACACCATGCACGCAATCCACCCGCCCAAGTTTCATCCACATCCACCCGCCCTCCGTTTCTTTCGCCAGCACCACATGGCTCCACGTTGACGAAACCTCCGTCACGATTTCCGTCTTTGCCACGACCAGTGAGACATCCGTCAAGGCATACAGTAACACAGATTGGTGTTACAACAGCACGGAGGACACGGCTCGACAGAACAGAGCTCAAGGTGAAATCCAGGCGGAGCAATCAATTCAGTCCTGTCACCCTTCCGTCATGCGATGTTCCCAAGGTCAAAAGCGATAGGTACGGGCGGGAGGTAGGAAGGGAGGGACACGCAGCAGGAATGCACGCACACAGGAACGCAAGGTACAGGAGGAGGCAAGGAAAGCAATCTGGTGGGCTGCACCCAACCCAACCCATCCACACATTCTTTTCTCCCGCCATGGCACCAACCAAGCCACCCACCCACCCATTCCCATACGGACGGTCCCGAGCAAGCCCCTAGTGTCACCCGCATATCTCACTCATTCCCCCGCTGTCGCTGCAGTAGCTGCTGCAGTTGCTGGGGCACCCTCCCTCTCTGCAACCATCCACCCGACCAGCCAGCCCCTCCCTCCGCTGCACCAGCGCACGCACCCATTCGTGCTGGTGGTCAGGTCAGCTCATTTTTGCTCTTCACTGTTTCCTGTGCCTAGCAACTTGGCACAGCCATGCCATGCCGACCTTTTCCTTCCTGCTTTATTCATTCGCACCAGCTCCGCCGCATTTGGCTGCCTCGCGCCGTCACCGCAGCAGCCTCCATTTCGCGAGTCGCCGTGCTAGGCGAAACACTTAGTTACGAGCCAAGCTTTTGCTAGCTTCTGTTCCAGGCCGACTGCTGTATTTTCAGGAAAGAATCGCATACACCTCTACTAGTTAAATGATATTTTAGGAAGGAAGCACAAAGTGTGCCTGGTGCTTGATTGTGCACGTGGCGTTTCTTGATGTGGTGACGTTTTCAGTTTCGGGTTTTTCAAGCACGTAGTGATGGTTCCAAATTAGCTGCGTCTAGTTACTAACGCAGGTTCGACATTCGATGGAATGATTTCGTCTCCTGGTAGTTGATATTATCCGTATCAATCACTTCTGTCAGCTTTTGGCGTCTTTTTAGCTTCGCCGTGTAGTTTGGAACCCTAGGAACTGTAGCTTAGTAACGTTTCCGGTTAGGGGTCATCGATTAGTACCGAGCATTGTTGCGACATTTTTAGGTCTGGGACGTCTGTCTCGCCTCGTCCGACGTTGCGACGTTCTTCTCAATGTGTAAAATGCAGGCTTTTCTAAAAGATTGCTGTTAATCCGAGATGACTTTAGAGTCAACTTAAACGTCACCTTCGTCCGAAGTTGCGGCGTCCTGCTAAATGTAGATTGATGCAGGCATTTTGAACTCTTATCCTTTCCGATTGAGCCGTTAATATGGTGACGCTGAACTCGCTCGATTTTGTGAGGAGTTTGTTAACGATTTTTTGCACATTGACTTTCTTATTTTGATATTGACCAACGACTGTGAGGGATTTCGTGCTTATTCTGACATTGACCAACGAATGGTGGGGATTCGACCGGAGAAATGCATCTGACGGCGAAGCAGAAGCGGCAGATTTTGATGCAGAGGGCCCAAGAAACCGGGTCCGCTGGATCTAGCGACGCCGGCCAAGGCAACATGGCGACGGCCACTCCTGCCAGCGCCGGCTCTCCTGCCGGTCCGTCAGCATCTGTTCTCGGGCCGCGAAGCGCGCCGATGCAAAGCCAGGCTGAGCTGAAAGAGCGACGCCAGCACCTGACGCGGCTTCAGATGCAGCAGCAGCAGCAGCAGCAGCAAGGGGCAAGAGGGAGCGTCCAAGCACGGAACGGCGGAAGGGCAGAACGGCCGCCACGAAAAGCGAGAGGAGGGAACGGAAGGGGGGGAGGTTCGGGATGGAACGGAGGCTGGACACGAGGGCGAGTCTGGCGATCAGAGAATGGCGAAGGATGGCGAGAAGCAGCACCACGAAAAGCAGGTTACTGGGAGCGCGCAAAGTCCCCTGGGGGGAAATGCTGGCACTCAGGGGGAGAATGCGCGGGAAGGGGAGGGTGGCGCGGAGGGTGACGCGCAGGAAGGGGAAGGTGGAGCGGGTAACGAGAAGAACGACGGGGGGGACAGGGAGGGGGGGGTTTCTGGAGGAGAGGAGGCAGCGGATGGTGACGGCCTGCGTGACTCCGGCTCGCCTGGCCAGCAGGAGGAAGAGCAGCAGCAGCAGCAGCCGCCGCAGCAGCAGCAGAATGCAGGGACGGGAGGGTCTGGAGGAGGGCCAGCACCACAGGGACTGGAGGGTCAGCAGGAGGCTCAGCAGCAGCAGCAGCAGCAGCAGTCGCCGCCGCCGCAGCAGCAGCAGCAGCAGCCGCAACAGCAGCAGCAGCAGCAGCAATCACATGGCGTCTCACAGCAACAGCAACGACAGCAGCAACAGCAGCAACAGCGACAGCAACAGCAGCAGCAGCAGCAGCAGCAGCAGCAGCAGCAGCAACAGCAACAACAACAGCAGCAGCAGCAGCAGCAGCAGCCGCAGCCAGGGCAGCAACAGCAGCAGCAACAGTCGGGACAGCAACAGCAGCAGCAATTGGGGCAACAGCAGCCGGGACAGCAGCAGCAGAGGCAGCTGAATCGGGAGCATGAGCAGGAGTTGCTGCAGCAGCAGATGCAGAAGCACCAGATGGTCTTTCACCAGCTTCAGGAGCGACGGCAGCAGCTGCAGCAGCAGCTGATACAGCAGCAGCGGCAGCAAGGGTCGATGGATATGATGCAGCGGCAGCAGCTAATTCAGACGCAGCAGCAGCAGCAACTCATTCAGCAGCAGATGCTGATTCTGAGGCAGCGGCAGCTGCAGCTGCAGCAGCAGCTACAGCAGAACCAGCAGCAGCAGAACCAGCAGCAACTGAATCAGCAGCAACAGCAGCCGCAGCAGCAGCAGGGCGAGCATTTGGATTCACAGGTTGTGGCGAGTCAGGCGCCAAAGGAAGAGCCAAAGGAGCAGAGTGAGCAGGCGGAGAGAGAGGGTACTGCTCAGAACAGGATCACAGAGGCGCAGGAGCAGCAGCAGCAGCAGCAGCAGCAGCAGCAGCAGCAGCAGCAGCAGCAGCAGCAGCAGCAGCAGCAGCAGCAGCAGCAGCAGCAGCAGCAGCAGCAGCAGCAGCAGCAGCAGCAGCAGCAGCAGCAGCAGCAGCAGCAACAGCGGCAGCAGCAGCAGCAGCAGCAACAGCAAGGGCAGCAGCAGCAGCAGCAGCAGCAGGCTGGGGTGCAGCGACCGTCTGATGCTCTTTCGCAGCTGCTGCTGCGGCAGCAGATGCTGCTACAGCAGCAGAAGGCAGCGGGGCAGGGGCACGGCGAGGATGGGGGGAGAGTGCGGGAAGCCAGCAGGTGGCTCGCACCCAGCAGCAAATACAGCAGCAGCAGCAGCTTCTGCTCCTGCTGCAACGGCAGCAGAGCCTAGACAGCGCCAGGAACCAGCAGCAACAACAGCAGCAGCAGCAGCAGCAGCAGCAGCAGCAGCAGCAGCAGCAGCAGCAGCAGCAGCAGCAGCAGCAGCAGCAGCAGCAGCAGCAGCAGCAGCAGCAGCAGCAGCAGCAGCAGCAGCAGCAGCAGGATCAGGGGCAAGGGCACGGGCAGGCACAAAGCTCAGCAGGGCAATCACAACAACAGGATCCGCAGCAGCAGCAGCAGCAGCAGCAGCAGCAGCAGCAGTTGCAGCAGCAGTTGCAGCTGCAGCAGCTGCAGAAGCAGAAGCTGGAGCAGCTTTTGAGGCAGCGCCAGTCCCAGCTACAAGCGCTGGCCCAAGCCCAGGCCCAGTCCCGCGCCCGCCCTGACCTCCCTGTGCTGGCCCTTGCAGAGGCTGCAGGCAGCGGCGTGCTTGCTGCTGGTAGAGCATCTAACGACCAGGATGCAGCGGGCGCTGGTCAATCAACGGCTCACGCTGCAGCTGAAGCGAGGGGCCCTGGGGATACTGCTGCTGCTGTGGCGATGGCTGCTGGTGCTCCTGGCGCTGATGGTATGGCTGGGGAGGGTACAGCCGGGGAAGGTTTACCTGGCGCTGGTGTGGAGGCTATGATGGCAGATGAAGGGACAGGGGAGCTCGCACAAGCAGCAGTCATGGGAGGGGCAGGAGGGCGAGGAGGAGCAGTAGGCGGAGCAGCAGGCGGAGCATTAGGGGTAGGAGTGGGGCCAGGAGGGGCAGGAGGAGGAATAGGAGGAGGAATAGGAGGAATAGGAGGAGGAATAGGAGGAGGAATAGGAGGAGGAATAGGAGGAGGAATAGGAGGAGCGATACACGGTGGTATGGGCGGGGATGGTGAGGGCGAGCGCGAGGGTGAAGGGGCATGCAGTGCAGGGGGGGAGGATGCTGCTGCAGCAGCAGCAGCAGCAGCAGCGATGGGGATGGGGATGCCGGTGGTGGTGGACGTGTCGCCAGAGGATGGCGTGTTGCCTGCTGTGGGCGGGTCGGCTAACGTGGATGGGTGTGTGCGCAAGCTCATGGAATTCATGTACCACCAGCGCCGCCGCCCTGCTGTGAGTCTGTGGGTGGGTTTCTGAGTGAATGGGTGTGTGTGAGTGCTTTGGCACACGTGTGTGTGTGTGTGTGTGTGTGTGTGTGTGTGTGTGTGCGTGCGTGCGTGCGTGCGTGTGAGAGGAGGCAGCGGCAATGCCAGCAGCTGCAGCAGTGGCAGTGGCAGCAGCAGCAGCAGCAGCAGCGATGGGGATGCCGGTGGTGGTGGACGTACCACCAGTGCCGCCGCCCTGCTGTGAGTTTCTGTGGGGGGTGGGTGAACGGGTGTATGGGTGTGCATGGGTGTTTGCATGGGTGAATGGGTGTGAGCATTGGAATGTGAGTGCCGGGATGGGTCTGTGCGCAAGCTCATAGAGTTCTTGTACCGTCAGAGCCGAGTCCCTGCCTTGAGAGTGTGCGGGGAGTGAGAGTGTGTGCGGGGAGTGAGAGTGTGTGCGGGGAGTGAGTGTGTGTGCGGGGAGTGAGTGTGTGTGCGGGGAGTGAGAGTGTGTGCGGGGAGTGAGTGTGTGTGCGGGTAGTGAGTGTGTGTGCGGGTAGTGAGTGTGTGTGCCTCGCAGAGCACATATCTCCTCGTGTGCAAGTTTGCCAAAAATCGACTCCTTTTGCTCCTCCCTCTCGCCTCCCTGCAAGACAACAACGTGGAGTTTTGGCGTCAGTTCGTCGCACAGTACTTCGCCCCGCACGCCCGCAAGCGCTGGTGTGTCGCCTCCTACGGCAGGAGCGCCCTCACAGCAGCCCCTTTAGGCGCCTCAAAACACCATCCTTGCTCCGTCCTGCTCACAATCCCCCTTTCCCTCTCCCTCCTGCCCCCAACCCACCCTCCAGGACAACAACGTGGAGTTCTGGCGTCAGTTCGTCGCGCAGTACTTTGCCCCGAACGCCCGCAAGCGCTGGTGTGTTGCCTCCTACGGCAGGAGCGGCCGCCAGCCGGCCGGTGTCTTCCCGCAGGACATCTGGCCCTGCGACCTCTGTGGCGCCAGCCCTGGCAGAGGCTTCGGTGAGTGGAGAACAGGCAGTGGGGGGTGTACCATATCATTGGTACTGCTAGGCAAGTGGTGGTGTTAGTCGCCAGTCAAGCCAGTCTAGCCGCCAGCCGGCCGGCGTCTTCCCGCAGGACATCTGGCCCTGCGACCTCTGTGGCGCCAGCCCTGGGCGAGGCTTTGGTGAGTGCTAAGCTGTGCACCAGGGAGTGCAAGGAGTGTTGGGTCTGTAAGGGAGTGTGGGGCCGCCAGCCCGCCAGTGTCTTCCCGCAGGACATCTGGCCCTGCGACCTCTGTGGCGCCAGCCCTGGGCGAGGCTTTGGTGAGTGCTAAGCTGTGCACCAGGGAGTGCAAGGAGTGTTGGGTCTGTAAGGGAGTGTGGGGCCGCCAGCCCGCCAGTGTCTTCCCGCAGGACATCTGGCCCTGCGACCTCTGTGGCGCCAGCCCTGGGCGAGGCTTTGGTGAGTGCTAAGCTGTGCACCAGGGAGTGCAAGGAGTGTTGGGTCTGTAAGGGAGTGTGGGGCCGCCAGCCCGCCAGTGTCTTCCCGCAGGACATCTGGCCCTGCGACCTCTGTGGCGCCAGCCCTGGGCGAGGCTTTGGTGAGTGCTAAGCTGTGCACCAGGGAGTGCAAGGAGTGTTGGGTCTGTAAGGGAGTGTGGGGCCGCCAGCCCGCCAGTGTCTTCCCGCAGGACATCTGGCCCTGCGACCTCTGTGGGCTAGTCCTGGCAGTGGCTTCGGTGAGTGATGGGGGGAAGGTGCGATGTGTTACAACCACGCAGGTGGTGGTGTTAGTCAAGCCAGTCAAGCCAGTCAAGCCAGTCAAGCCAGTCAAGCCGCCAGCCCGCCAGTGTCTTCCCGCAGGACATCTGGCCCTGCGACCTCTGTGGCGCCAGTCGAACAGCGGGTTGCTGGAGGAGGTGCAGTATGCGGACCTTGTTAGAATTAGGCTGTCAACACTTTGTGTGCTAAATTCTATATCGCGTAGGTTATTTGTGGGTTGGGTTTAGTTTGTAATCCCAACCCTATCTGGTTGGGATTCCCTCGTAATCCTGCAAATCTGCCAACTCACCAATTGGAGATTTGCTGGGATTCCCATCCCATCCTTTCCCTAGCCTTGCCCAACCCAACCTCGTTTGTACTTAAGGCCTAGTGCCTTCTTTACTAATCAATTAGATCAATCAGTTGAGCTTCGTTTCTATCAGACCTAACCGCCTGATACCCTTTCGTTCCCCTTATGTTGCCAACTCATTGCACCGCACAGAAATGACAGTGGAGGTGCTCCCTCGGCTCTTCAAGATCAAGTACGACAGCGGGGTGCTGGAGGAGGTGCTTTATGCGGACCTACCTGCCTGCCTGCCCCATTCATCCCCCTTATGTTGTTGTCTCGTTATACTGTACAGAGATGACGATGGAAGTTCTGCCCCGGCTGTTCAAGATCAAGTACGACAGCGGCGTGCTGGAGGAGGTGCTTTATGCGGATCTACCCGCGGAGTACATGCTGCCAGGTGGCGCCGTGGTATTGGAGTACGACCACGCCATCCAGGAGAGCCTCTTTGAGCAGCTGAGGGTGGTGCGGAAAGGGAAGCTCAAAATCGTCTTTAACTCCGACCTTAAGGTGGGAGGATGTGTGCCCCGCCCTTTGTGTGCGTGGGGGAGGAGGGGGGTAGGGCAGGGGGGAGAGAGATGGGGTTGGGAGCAGCTGAGGGTGGTGCGGAAAGGGAAGCTCAAAATCGTCTTTAACTCCGACCTTAAGGTGCGGTAGCTGTGTGTTTCTTAGTGTGTGTTAGGAGAGGGTGGTGGGGGGGCGTGAGGGGAGGGGGGAGATGAGAGCAGCTCCCGAGGGTGGCGCCGTGGTATTGGAGTACGACCACGCCATCCAGGAGAGCCTCTTTGAGCAGCTCAGGGTGGTGCGGAAAGGGAAGCTCAAAATCGTCTCCAATGCGGAAAGGAGCGCCAGATGTGTGTGCCCCTCTGTGTGTTGGGGGATTGGGTGGAGAAGGGAAAGGGGGTTGAGAGCAGCTGAGGGTGGTGCGCAAGGGCAAGCTCAAGATTGACTTCAACTCTGACCTCAAGGTGCGGCAGATGTGTGTGGGAGGGGGAAGGAAAAAAGGGGGAAGGAAAAAGGGGGGAAGGGAAAGGGGAGAAAGGGGTGGGGGGAAGATGGGCTTGAGAGCAGCTCCTGAGGGTGGTGTGCAAGGCCAAGCTCAAGATCGTCTTCAACTCGGACCTCAAGGTGCGCCACCCGTGTGCGCGTATGTGTGTGGGGGGAAGGGGTAGGCGGGAGGGGGAAGGGGGTTGACGATGGGGCTGAGAGCAGCTCCTCAGGGTTGAGCGCAAGGGCAAGCTCAAGATCGACTTTATCTCTGATCCCAAGGTTTGCCACCTGTGTGCATGTGCATGTGCGTGTGCATGTGCATGTGCGTGTGCATGTGCGTGTGCATGTGCATGTGCATGTGCATGTTCATGTGCGTAAGGGAGTAACAATGTCTCATCCTGACCATCTCTTCCCACCCGCCCATCTCGTCCCATCTATGCCGTCCCTCTCATGCCCTCTCATGCCCGCCCATGCCCCTCGGCAGATCACCCTGTGGGAGTTCTGCACGCAGAACCACGAGGAGCTTGTGTTTTGAGTACCATGCCATGCCCCCCTTGCTCTCCCCCCCATGCTCTCCCTCCCGCGCATGGCTTCCCTCCTCGGCAGATCACCCTATGGGAGTTCTGCACGCAGAACCACGAGGAGCTCGTGCCACGACGCCTCGTACTGCAGCAGGTCAGCACCACCCCACCCCACCAGCACACCACACCACCGTAACTCAGAAACACTCTTACGCACCTCTGCCGCTTGTCCCGCATTGCATTGACCTGACATTTGCCCGTTCGACTCCCCACGTCCCCTTCCTCCCCACCTCCCTTCCCGTCCCCCTCCCCTCCCTCCCTATCTCCCTCCCTATCTCCCTCCTCCTGTCTTCCCTCCGTCCCTCTCTCTAGTAGTCGTGCACTCCTAAAAGGGGTGCGCGGATAGGTAGCAGGTCTGTCAGCACCCCTTTCACTGTATGCCCTCTTCACTGAAACCCCTTTACTCATGCCTCCTTTCTTCCCGCCTCCATTCTGCCTGCTGTCTGCCTGCTTGCCTACTCTGCCTCTCCACCTCTCCCTCTACCTCTCCATCGCTCTCTCCCCTCTATCCAACTGTGTGCTGCAGGTGAGTCGGCTGGCGGATCTCGCCTTCAAGTTCCAGAACCACTTGCCGGGGTCCCTCACGCCCAATCAGCTCCACTCCCATTGCGCCACGTAAGCATCCCTTCCCTCTCTGCCTAACTCACTCCCTGTACCTCCTCCCTGGCCTTCACCTCCCTCACTCTCTTTCTTACCTCCCCCCCACCCGCACCACCCCCCCTCTTCCCTCCTCCCGTCCCTCCCTCCCATCTCTTCTGTATATGCTCTTCTTTCAGAACCACGTGTGTTTCTGCCGTTCAGCGCTCCCTGCCTCTGTTCTCCCGTGCCCTTCCTCCCCCCCCCTCCCATCCCTTCCGTCTCCACCCCCAATCATCTTTGCCACCATGTGCCACGAGCTGACTCACAAGCTGCCTTTCCCTCCTCCTCACTTGTCCCCCCCTCCCCCCTACTTCTCCTCTCCCCCTACTTCTCCCCCCTCCCCAGTTTCACCACCATGTGTCGGGAGTTGACTCACAAGCTGGGCGCGCCAACAGTCAGCTTCTTCCCTCTCCTTCTCTCACCGCCCCGCCTCGTTCTCCCCTCCACACACCCCCCATTCTCCACACACCCCCCATTCTCCACACACCCCCCATTCTCCACACACCCCCTCCCCTCTCAGTTTCGCCACCATGTGTCGGGAGTTGACTCACAAGCTGGACGCGCCAACAGTCAACGACCTGGGCTTCACCAAGTGCTACGTGCGCTGCCTGCAGGTGCTATGAGGTTATCGGAGGCTATGCATTGCAGTAGGGTGGCATCCCATGCGCTGTAGAGTTCGTAGTTCTGGTGTTAAGTTGGACGCCCCTACCTAAGCCCCCATCATATTCATTACTGTCACGCCCTTGGTTGTCACGCCCTTGGCTGTCACGCCCTTCACGGCCGATGCATAACAGCATAGCAATTGCTATTTGTGCGTGTGTGTGCGTGCGTTTGCGTGTATGCATGCGAGCATGTTTGTGCATGCGTGCGTGTGCGTGTGTGTGTGTGCGTGTGTGTGTGTGTGATCACCCATGGCATGTGCAGATATCGGAGGTGGTCAACAGCATGAAGGACCTGGTCAACTACAGCCGAGAGCACAACATCGGACCCATAGGTGAGTTGAGCTGCCACCTGTACCGTTGGTACGGTGTCCATAGCTGCTTTGTTGCTGTGTCGTCTCACCACAGCAGCAGCAGCAACACCATGAAGGATTTGGTCAACTACATTGGTGTGTTGGTCTACTACAGCCGAGAGCACAACATCAGACCCATTGGTATGTCCCCCCGCCACCTCTACCGTTGCTACAGTGTGATGTTGCTGTGATCTCCCTCATGCCCTACCCTCCCTCCCTCCCTCCTCCTTATGCCCCTTTCTCTCATCCCCCCTTCCCACTCCCCCTTCAAATGCAACCCTCTATATCTAATTTTTAACCAGTCCTAATGCCCTCCCCATGCCACCTTCTCACCCCTTACCCCGTGCACCCTTCCCCATGTTCCCCTCCCTTCCTCCCTCTTTCTCGCTACCCTCCCTTGCTCCTTCCCTGCTGCCCCCTCCCCCCCTCCCCCTCAGAGAGTCTCAACTCTTTTCCGCGCCTCAAGGCCGCCCCCCCTTCCCCATGCGCCTCCGACCATTCAATTCAGCAGCACGGCCTGCTGCAGCAGCAGGGCTTGACGCCTCAGCAGCAGATGCAGATGTGCATGCATGCACAGCAACAGCAGCAGGAGGGGCAGCAGGGGGGCCAGCAAGGGGGAGGGGAGCTGGGACTGGTTACCGAGCAGGTGGTGGGGCAGCAGGGGCAGCAGCAGGGGCAGCAGCAGGGGCAGCAGCAGGAGGAGGGGGGGAGCCCGCAGCAGCAGGGCATGGGGCAGGCGAGGGAGGAGGCTCGGGCCGTCACACCCACCTCCCAGCTCATGGCCGAGGGTGGGGGAGGAGCAGGAGTGGTGGGGGGGAGGGCGGGGGGGATGGGCGGAATGGGAGGGATGCAGCATGGGGGGCAGGGGCAGGGTTTACCCCCATTGCCTCCCCCTCAGCAGAGAAACCTTCCCCACGGTCTCCCTTGCAACACCTGCAGCAGCAGCTACTGCAGCAGCAGCAACAGCAGCAGCAACAGCAGCAGCAGCAGCAACAGCAGGAGGTGCAGAGTTCCTTATCCCCAGGCACAGGGGCGGCAGCAGCAGCAGGGGGAGGGGGAGGGGGGGCACAGGGCTTTGGAGGGCAGGGCATGGGAGCAGGGCAGGGGTCAGGGGCGGCAACCGTGGCAGCAGCAGCTGCCGCCCTGAGAATGAGCAGTGCCGCCCAGATCTCCGCCCTCATGGGGTCCCTGGGGGCGGGCGGGGGCATGGGGGGAGCAGGAGGGGCAGGGGCGGGGGGAGGCGCGGGGGGAGGGGCAGGGCCTGGCGGTATGGGCGGGAGGGGAATGTCTAGAGCGGACAGCACAGGGGAGAGAGAGCCTGGGGGTATGCACGCTGATGGTGCTGCTGGGGGAGGGGCAGCAGGGGCAGGAGTGGGAGCAGTGGGAGGAGTGGGGGAGGGAGGGGGAGCAGGCGGAGCAGGTGGGGGAGGGGGAGGGGGGGGAGGGGGGGGGCAGCAGCAGCAGCTGGCAGCACAGCAGGCGCGCCTCTGGGTCCTCCAAGGCTGAGACACTCGTCCTCTGTCAACTCCTTGTCTGGCTCTGTGGGAGGGGCCATGGCGGGCATGGGGGGAGGGATGGCGCGGGGATGGGCGGAATGGGGGGAGCAGGGGGCGCAGGGGGTGCAGGGGGAGGAGGGAGGGGGTTGGGCGGGTTCACCCGCGCTGGCAGTGTGGGGGGGAGCATTGGCGGGAGTATGGGCGGACCTGGGGGCAGGGTTATGGGGTCAGCTGCTGCGTCTGCGGCTGCTGCTGCTGCAGGGGGGTTTGGCATGGGGAGGAACCAAGAGCTTGAGGCTATGGGTGCTGAAAATCCCACTGCTGGTCCTGCTGGTACTGGAGGTGGTGGTGGTGGTGGGGGGATGGATGGGGCTGCAGCAGCGGCAGGGCAGGGGGCTCTGGGTGAGTTAGCGGCCCTAATGTCTCCGCCCGTGTCCCACCAGGAAGCTTCCTGGCAGCAGGCCGTTGCTGCCGCGGGCGGAGGTGGGGACGGCGCCCCTGGTGGTGGGGGGATGGGCGCTGGGGGGAGGACGAATGGCGGGGTGATGGCGAGAGCAGGGAGCTATGGGGCAGGCGGGGCAGCGTCTGCGATGAGTGGCGGGGGTGGTGGCGCTGGTTGTGTGGGTGGTGGAGGGGCAGGAGGCGGGGGAATGACTTTGAGTGGTCTTCAGAGCATGCTGCAGCAGAGTGCGGGTGCTGGGGGCGCGGCTGGGGGAGTAGGTGGGGGCATGGCGAATAGAGTGGCTACACTGATGGCTCGTCAGGCTCAGATTAAAGCCCTTGCTACTCTTCGGCAGCAGCAGTCGCAGCAGCAGCAGCAACAGCAACAGCAACAACAGCAACAGCAGCAACAGCAACAGCAACAGCAACAGCTGCCGCAACTGCAGCAGCAGCAGTTGCAACATCAGCAGTCAGTGTCGCAGGGAAACCCAATGGAAAGAGCAGCGGCAGCAGCAGCAGCAGCAGCTGCTGCTGCTCAGGGGGTTAGTGGCAACAGCGGTAGTGTTTGTGGTGGGGGGGGAGGAGGGGGGGGTGCTGCTGGTGCTGCTGGCGGTGGTGGCGGCGGTGGCGGTGGTGGCAGTGTGAATTTTGGCGGGATGGGCAATGCAGCAGCAGTAGCAGCAGCTGCAGCAGCAAGCAGATCAGCCGCTGCAGCTGCAGCGGCAGCAGGAGGGGGAGGAGGAGCGGGCGGGGGGATGGGGGGGGGGGCAGCAGCATCGCAAGTGGCAGCTGCGGGGAATGTGGCAGTGAGTCTGCTGCAGCAGGCGGGGAAGCTGGAAGGGCTGCGAGGGGCCGAAGCACAGAGTGCAGTGCAGCAGCTGATGCAGCAGGTGATGCTCAACCGCGCTGCTGCCCAGGCTGCTGCTGCCGCCTCTGCTTCTGCTGCTGGTGGTGTTGGTGGTGCTGCTGGGGGGACTGGTCTTGCCGGTGCTGGCACTGCAGCTAGCATGGCAGCAGCAGCGGCGGCTGCAGGGATGTTGAGAGAAGGAGCAACGGAAGGGGGGATGGGAGGAGGCATGGGCTCGCATGGGGGTGTGGGGGCAGGTCTAGGGGGTCTGGGAGGGGTGGGTGGAGCAGGGGGAGGTGGGCCTGGGGGAGGTGTATCTGCAATGGGTCCTGCAGGCAGCAGAGTGGCGGCAATGGCTGCTCGGCTCAGAAGCATGGGGGTTACAAACCTGGCTGGGTTGGGAATGGTGGGAAGCGGTGCAGGTGTTGGAGCTGGAGGTGCTGCTGGTGTGGGGGGGGTGGGAGGAGCAGGGGTGATGGGTGGTGGGGATATGATGCCTGACGGGCTGGGAGGAGCAGCAGGGGGAATGGTTCGGGCTGCTGGTAACTTTGCTGGTCTGGCTTCTGCTGCAGGCTTGGCCGGACCTTCGGGCGGAGGCGTGGGAGGAGGTTTGGGAGGGATGAGAGGGGCGGCGTTGGCTGAGCGATTGGCGAGCCTAGGAGCTAACATTGCAGACCTGGGGAGGTTTGAGAATGTGATGGATGGTGCTGCTGGTGGTGGTGTGGCGGGTTTGATGGATTCAAGTGCTTCTATTCCTAACTCTGCACTCGTTGGTGGGGGTTTAGGGGCGGGTATGGGTGATTCTGGTGCTGGTGGTTTTAGAGGTGGATTGGGGGCCGCAGCAGCAGGTATGGTTGGCAGAAATGTAGGCTTGGTGGGAGGCTTGGGGTCGCTTGACCGGCTTGCAGCGGCAGGTTTGGTTGGCGGAGGTGCGGGGGGTCCAGGTATGGGAGCAGCAGGAGCAGGTGGTCCGGCTGCTGTGGCAGCAGGTGCACTGCAAGCAGGGCTGCAGATGCAAGAGCAAGTGAATATGGGGCATGAGGGGATGATGGGGGGTGGAGGGGGCGGAGGTGGGGGAGGAGGGTTCAGCAACCTTGGGAATCTACAGTTTAACTGGAACAGATGAGGGTCTGTGCAGATATTTGCAGCTCCGCTGTAAAGGTGGTATAGGTGTCATGGCGTGGGTTAACAAACATAACACAAATAGCATTACCAGTTTTGTGTTGGGACGGGTTTTGAAATGGCAGAATATGATGGACTTGGCTGCCTTGTTGTAATTGACCTATAGAAAGTGAAAGCATTCGTCCACCCCCCAGCAAAGGCTGGCAAATTCTGTATGAAAGTTCAGGAGTGTCATCTGTAGCTGTTGATACTGGGAAGTATGGATCATATGTAGTTCACTGACTTAGCTAATTGTGTTTGTTTGGTACGAAATGTTCGATGTGAAGTGGCGAAACATCATGTATCAAGGATAGCGTTTTTCATTCTCGTTTCGTTTCATCCGGCAGTACGATGACGGCGAGAAACGCCGGCTGATGAAATCTTTTGGTCACCGAGTACGGTTGACTCGTTTCTTCTTTTCGTTGACACGGCAGTTCGGTTGTCCATGTGGCTGCAGCTTCTTGGTGCAATGCCCCCGTTGACTGCTGCGGAGCCGAGTCATTTTTCGAAATTCGAGCATCTTCGCAATGTGCGACGCGCAAAATTGGCGACGCGACGAGGGTACAAATTTCTCCAGCTGGGCTGCAGCAATTCATTCCAATTTCGACGCATGCAGAAAGCAGACCACTGAGAGTGCTTTCCAGCGCACACACACGAAATTCTTTCACACTGCCTGACATCAGGACAAAGGATTTCTTATCACCTTAGCGGAAACCGAGAAATGGAGCGCTCATTTCCGCTCCCGCACAACAGGCTTCGTCTCCGTAATCCGAGCACGGTGCTTCTCCTCCTCTCTCTCGTCCTGCTTTCTTCTCTCCACGCGGCGATGGCCTTCCACTTCTCCGCGGGACTCCGCGTGGACAAAATTGGCGGGAACATGCGCGGATGGGTGCGCTGCGGGCGGTCGATCTGTAAGAAGCACAAACACGGCGGCGGAAAGGGCGGAAACGGGAAGGGTGGAACTGGGGGCGGCGCTGGCGGAGGGACGGGTGGCGGTGGCGGAATGGGCGGTGACGGAATGGACGGCGGCGGAATGGGCGGCGGCGGAACGGGCGGTGACGGAATGGGTGGTGGCGGAATAGGCGACGGAGGAAAAGGAGGCGGCGGAAGCATGATGGGCGGAGGCGAAATAGGTGGCGGCGGAGATGGAGGGGGGGTGGGCGGATCTTGGCCGCCCGCTCCCGGATCAGAAGCAGGCATGGGTCCTGGGTCGGCTAGCATGGGCGGACCTGGAGCCCCTGCTCCTGGATCCGAACCAGCCATGGGTCCTGGGGGAGGCATGGGAAGCGGAGGGAAAGGTGGGGGAGGGATGGGTGGTGGAGGAATGGGCGGCGGTGGAATGGGTGGCGGTGGATTGGGAGGCGGAGGAACAGGCGGCGGAGGAATGGGCGGCGGTGGAATTGGCGGTGGTGGAATTGGCGGCGGTGGAACGGGTGGAGGAACGGACGGCAGTGGAACGGGCAGTGGTGGAATGGGCGACGGAGGATTGGGTGGCGGAGGAACGGGCGGCGGAGGAATGGGCGGCGGTGGAATCGGCAGCGGTGGAATGGGCAGCAGTGGAATGGGCGGCGGAGGAACGGGCGGTGGCGGAATGGGCGGCGGAGGAACGGGTGGAGGAACGGGCAGCGGTGGAGCGGGCAGCGGAGGAACGGGCGGCAGTGCAATGGGTGGTGGTGGAACGGACGACGGTGGAATGGGCGGCGGAGGAACGGGCAGCGGTGGAACAGGCGGAGAAACGGGTGGCAGTGGAACGGGCAGCGGTGGAACGGGCGGTGGAGGAACGGGCGGCGGTGGAACGGGCGGCGGTGGAACGGGCGGCAGTGGTGGTAACATAAGAGGTGGTAAGGGCAGAACAGGGTCTCCATGAGAAGGGACTCTGATGGACAGGCATGAGTCATGGGGTGGGGAGATGGCTGCACTCCAAATGGCTTTCTCTAGGTAGGAGCATGGAATACCATGCATTGTTGTCTGTCATCTCGAGCATCTAACCATCTCCAGGTTGAAGGGTGACTGAAGGGGGAAGAATGGATTGTTGCAGATATTGCACTTCTGTTCTGAGTTTATAAATCGTAGAGGACGGCGATTCACAGCTACTTGTTCTCTTGTACGTATCCAAATTTATACATGCTCGCATCGCATTCTTGAGGTTGTTGGTGAAGCACAGCTGATGGCAGATGTGGATATTGGCCAGGTGAACGGAACCTTACACAAGCCATGCATTCCCCTCACACACTCGCTCCACTACACTCCACGCAAGCACAACCTTATTTACAAGCTCCTTGTTCGGACCGGAGGAGAAATCTCCTAGAAACTCCTGCCCACACTCCCTGCCCTTGCTCCCTGCCCATGCTCCCTGCCCATGCTCCCTGCCCTTGCTCCCTGCCCATGCTCCCTGCCCATGCTCCCTGCCCATGCTCCCTGCCCATGCTCCCTGCCCATGCTCCCTGCCCACACTCCCTGCCCATGCTCCCTGCCCATGCTCCCTGCCCATGCTCCCTGCCCATGCTCCCTGCCCATGCTCCCTGCCCATGCTCCCTGCCCATGCTCCCTGCCCTTGCTCCCTGCCCTTGCTCCCTGCCCTTGCTCCCTGCCCTTGCTCCCTGCCCATGCTCCCTGCCCATGCTCCCTGCCCATGCTCCCTGCCCATGCTCCCTGCCCTTGCTCCCTGCCCATGCTCCCTGCCCATGCTCCCTGCCCTTGCTCCCTGCCCTTGCTCCCTGCCCTTGCTCCCTGCCCTTGCTCCCTGCCCATGCTCCCTGCCCTTGCTCCCTGCCCATGCTCCCTGCCCATGCTCCCTGCCCACACTCCCTGCCCATGCTCCCTGCCCATGCTCCCTGCCCATGCTCCCTGCCCTTGCTCCCTGCCCTTGCTCCCTGCCCATGCTCCCTGCCCATGCTCCCTGCCCATGCTCCCTGCCCTTGCTCCCTGCCCATGCTCCCTGCCCATGCTCCCTGCCCATGCTCCCTGCCCATGCTCCCTGCCCTTGCTCCCTGCCCTTGCTCCCTGCCCATGCTCCCTGCCCTTGCTCCCTGCCCATGCTCCCTGCCCATGCTCCCTGCCCATGCTCCCTGCCCACACTCCCTGCCCATGCTCCCTGCCCATGCTCCCTGCCCATGCTCCCTGCCCATGCTCCCTGCCCATGCTCCCTGCCCATGCTCCCTGCCCATGCTCCCTGCCCTTGCTCCCTGCCCTTGCTCCCTGCCCTTGCTCCCTGCCCTTGCTCCCTGCCCATGCTCCCTGCCCATGCTCCCTGCCCATGCTCCCTGCCCATGCTCCCTGCCCTTGCTCCCTGCCCATGCTCCCTGCCCATGCTCCCTGCCCTTGCTCCCTGCCCTTGCTCCCTGCCCTTGCTCCCTGCCCTTGCTCCCTGCCCATGCTCCCTGCCCTTGCTCCCTGCCCATGCTCCCTGCCCATGCTCCCTGCCCACACTCCCTGCCCATGCTCCCTGCCCATGCTCCCTGCCCATGCTCCCTGCCCTTGCTCCCTGCCCTTGCTCCCTGCCCATGCTCCCTGCCCATGCTCCCTGCCCATGCTCCCTGCCCATGCTCCCTGCCCACACTCCCTGCCCATGCTCCCTGCCCATGCTCCCTGCCCATGCTCCCTGCCCATGCTCCCTGCCCATGCTCCCTGCCCATGCTCCCTGCCCATGCTCCCTGCCCTTGCTCCCTGCCCTTGCTCCCTGCCCTTGCTCCCTGCCCTTGCTCCCTGCCCATGCTCCCTGCCCATGCTCCCTGCCCATGCTCCCTGCCCATGCTCCCTGCCCTTGCTCCCTGCCCATGCTCCCTGCCCATGCTCCCTGCCCTTGCTCCCTGCCCTTGCTCCCTGCCCTTGCTCCCTGCCCTTGCTCCCTGCCCATGCTCCCTGCCCTTGCTCCCTGCCCATGCTCCCTGCCCATGCTCCCTGCCCACACTCCCTGCCCATGCTCCCTGCCCATGCTCCCTGCCCATGCTCCCTGCCCTTGCTCCCTGCCCTTGCTCCCTGCCCATGCTCCCTGCCCATGCTCCCTGCCCATGCTCCCTGCCCTTGCTCCCTGCCCATGCTCCCTGCCCATGCTCTCTGCCCATGCTCCCTGCCCATGCTCCCTGCCCTTGCTCCCTGCCCTTGCTCCCTGCCCATGCTCCCTGCCCTTGCTCCCTGCCCATGCTCCCTGCCCATGCTCCCTGCCCTTGCTCCCTGCCCTTGCTCCCTGCCCTTGCTCCCTGCCCTTGCTCCCTGCCCATGCTCCCTGCCCTTGCTCCCTGCCCATGCTCCCTGCCCATGCTCCCTGCCCATGCTCCCTGCCCATGCTCCCTGCCCATGCTCCCTGCCCATGCTCCCTGCCCATGCTCCCTGCCCTTGCTCCCTGCCCTTGCTCCCTGCCCTTGCTCCCTGCCCTTGCTCCCTGCCCATGCTCCCTGCCCTTGCTCCCTGCCCATGCTCCCTGCCCTTGCTCCCTGCCCTTGCTCCCTGCCCTTGCTCCCTGCCCTTGCTCCCTGCCCTTGCTCCCTGCCCATGCTCCCTGCCCTTGCTCCCTGCCCATGCTCCCTGCCCTTGCTCCCTGCCCTTGCTCCCTGCCCTTGCTCCCTGCCCTTGCTCCCTGCCCATGCTCCCTGCCCATGCTCCCTGCCCTTGCTCCCTGCCCTTGCTCCCTGCCCTTGCTCCCTGCCCTTGCTCCCTGCCCATGCTCCCTGCCCTTGCTCCCTGCCCATGCTCCCTGCCCATGCTCCCTGCCCATGCTCCCTGCCCTTGCTCCCTGCCCATGCTCCCTGCCCATGCTCCCTGCCCTTGCTCCCTGCCCTTGCTCCCTGCCCTTGCTCCCTGCCCTTGCTCCCTGCCCATGCTCCCTGCCCTTGCTCCCTGCCCTTGCTCCCTGCCCTTGCTCCCTGCCCTTGCTCCCTGCCCATGCTCCCTGCCCATGCTCCCTGCCCATGCTCCCTGCCCATGCTCCCTGCCCTTGCTCCCTGCCCATGCTCCCTGCCCATGCTCCCTGCCCTTGCTCCCTGCCCTTGCTCCCTGCCCTTGCTCCCTGCCCTTGCTCCCTGCCCATGCTCCCTGCCCTTGCTCCCTGCCCATGCTCCCTGCCCATGCTCCCTGCCCACACTCCCTGCCCATGCTCCCTGCCCATGCTCCCTGCCCATGCTCCCTGCCCTTGCTCCCTGCCCTTGCTCCCTGCCCATGCTCCCTGCCCATGCTCCCTGCCCATGCTCCCTGCCCTTGCTCCCTGCCCATGCTCCCTGCCCATGCTCCCTGCCCATGCTCCCTGCCCATGCTCCCTGCCCTTGCTCCCTGCCCTTGCTCCCTGCCCATGCTCCCTGCCCTTGCTCCCTGCCCATGCTCCCTGCCCATGCTCCCTGCCCTTGCTCCCTGCCCTTGCTCCCTGCCCTTGCTCCCTGCCCTTGCTCCCTGCCCATGCTCCCTGCCCTTGCTCCCTGCCCATGCTCCCTGCCCTTGCTCCCTGCCCATGCTCCCTGCCCTTGCTCCCTGCCCATGCTCCCTGCCCTTGCTCCCTGCCCTTGCTCCCTGCCCTTGCTCCTTTGCCCTCTACCATTTCACCTCACCATCTGTCTCACACTGCCGTTGCTCAAACTATCCTCCCCTCGACCTCTCCCCACTCCTCTCTTCCTCTGCCTCCTTATCTTCTCCCCCCACCTCTCCCTCCTCATATCCCTTCTCCTCTCCTCCCTCCTCCACTCCTCTCTCCCCATCGCTCTCCTCACCTCTTTCCTCCTCTCCTCCTCCCTCAACTCCTCCTCACTCTTTCCCGCCTCCCTTCTCTCTTCCTCCCTCCTCCTCTCCTCCCCCCTTTCTTCCGCCTGCCTCGCAGCACAGCCCATTGCTGCTGCCAGTTGCTCCCTCTACTCATCCGGGTGACTTTTGAGTCGACGCAAAAGTCACCCTTGCTGCTGCCAAGTGCTCCCTCAACCCATCCGCCTCCACACATGTACGCTTTCGCTGCACCCATGGCCTTACTTGTGCTTGAGACAAGACACGTCCATCCAGCAAAGCAGCCATAGGGGAGCACATAGGAAAAGTCACAGTGCTGCGTAGAGCACGTACACGCACCAACACACACACAAGCACACGCATGCGCCCGCCCTTATTTCCCCAACCCCACCCCCTCCCCACACACACACGCATGCTTGCACGCGCGCGCGCATGCATGCACGCACGCACGGACACACACACACACACACACACACACACACACACACGCACGCACGCACGCACGCACGCACGCACGCACGCACGCACGCACGCACGCACGCACGCACGCACGCACGCATGCACGCACGCACGCACGCACGCACGCACGCACGCACGCACGCACGCACGCACGCACGCACGCACGCACGCACGCACACACACACACACACACACACACACACACACAATACAGAAACTGAGAGCAGAGGTTGATGCGTGAAGCATTGTAAGCTTGTACATGCATGCCATGTGAAGTGAAAGATGTAGCTTTTGCTCAAGAACTGAAGCAACGAGTACTCTTGTGGATGGGACCATGCAGGATAGAAGGTGCTGGTGATGGGATGTAGTGGTGAAGTGTCCCCACCAAGTCCCCATCATGTCCCCATCATGATATCACCATGTCCCCATCATGATACCACCATGCCCCCATCATGTGTCATAGGCCCGTCACACGTCTCCATGCAACGATTCAAGTCCCATGATCTCATGCATCACAGCACATGATATGCATGGCGTGGCGTGTGTGTTAGCACGGTGCACACGCACGCAGTGGCATCATGCATCGTGCATCATGCATCATGCATCATGGATCATGCATATCATGCATCATGCATCATGGATCATGCATCATGCATCATGCATCATGCATCATGCATCATGCATCATGCATCATGCATCATGCATCATGCATCATGCATCATGCATCATGCATGGCAGGCCCACCACCCCACCTCATCGTGCCGCACCTCATGCATCATGGAAATCGAGAAAGCGACAGAAACTGCATTGCATGTGCAATTTCAAATGAGGGTTGAAAATCAGCCCCACACACACCTGGCTTGTACCGCCGCCGCTGCCATGTGAACCAAGTGTCAGCGGCAATCCGTGAGTGATGAGCCTACATTTAAGTCGACTCAAAAAAAGACTTCCAACGAGGGTGCCACACACAAACCTGGCGTGTGAGATCGCTGCTGCCATGTGAACCATGTGTCAGCGGCAGCAGCCTCGATACAGTCACAACAGCAAGAACCACCGCTACTAGCACACACACACACCTGACGTGTACGATCGCTGCTGCCATGCGAACCACTTCTCAGCAGCAACAACCTCGATACAGCCACAGCAGCAACAACCTCGATACAGATACAGCCACAGCAGCAACAACCTCGATACAGCCACAGCAGCAAGAACCTCGATACAGCCACAGCAGCAAGAACCTCGATACAGCCACAGCAGCACGAACCACTTCCGGTAGCACCCCTGCCCCCCCCAACGGTCACTCCAGCCACTCCGCGGTCTTAACCTCTCCTGGCGGACGGCGCAGCTGCGCGTGGGGAGGCTGCGCATGCCTGGGACGACTGGGGAAGTGCCTTCAGCCCTGTTACAGAGGCTGGGGCGACTGGGGAAGTGGGTGGTGGTTACATCGGATAGGTTGGTTAGGGCTTGGAATAGTTGAGAATCAGCAGGAAGGCCCTGTTACAGAGGCTGGGGCGACTGGGGAAGTGGGTGGTGGTTACATCGGATAGGTTGGTTAGGGCTTGGAATAGTTGAGAATCAGCACGAAGGCCCTATTACAGAAGCTGGGGCGACTGGGGAAGTGGGAGGTGGTTAGGTTGGGAAGGGAGGCTTGAGCTTGGCAAGGCTGAGGCTCGGCCGCCGAGCCGGTTAGAGAGGCGGACGAGACGAGACGCGCAGGAATGGCGAGCGACACAGAGAGCGATTTGAGGAATAGCGGGCGAACTGCGGATTGCGGCATTGTGATGAGGGCAGGGCGGGGCGGGGAAAGGCAGGCAGAGCAGCGCTGCGCGTTGCGGAGCTGCGTGTGGCGGAGCTGCGCGTTGCGCATGGAGGAGCTTGGGTCTCACTGTTGTCCCTCTGCCGCCATCGCCGAGCTCAGTAATACCGATCTCGCATGCCATGCGAGTCGCAATGCTTGCGAGTCGAAGCGGGGAGCGCACCAGCCGCACGGCATGCGAGGGAGAATAAATCCGTTGCGCGCTTCGATGCCACGAGAGAAATTTATAATTCCCGTCGTAACCCCCCTCCCCCCTCCCCTTTCCCCGCCACTCCCCTTTCCCTTCCCTGCGTTTGCGAATGACTGCGCAATACATCGCTGAAACAAGACGTTCCGCGCAACTCGCGCGATGAGCATGTCGTGCGGCGAACCACTGCGCGACTTTTGGAATACAAATCATCTCGCAAAGTCCCTCTGTGTTCTCGCCTTGTTCTATACCCTCCATGCCCTGCCGACGAGCGGCCTCCGCATTTTGACACGTCAGCTTGGTCGAGCGAGTCGCGGATCGTAACATCTATCACGAGGCTCCTCTGGTGAGCTCCTTGTCCTGTGAGTCCCCTCCAACACTAGCCTGCTGGTCATAGATCTATCCGCGCTCGTGAAAGCTTGATTGGTGTGAATTTTTGTTCGGGCAGTGCAGCAAAGCCCACGCAAATATGATAACCAGAACAGTCGTAAAAATTGTACATTGAAGACAATTTGTGCATTCCATCACGAACTGCGAATAACGAACCCACTGTTATCAGGAATACGACTTTCTTCAAATTTCGTTTGGTTGGTTGGAGGACGAAACGGCTGTTGACAAGAGATACAGTGGTCAACATATTTTTACAAGGCGTTGACTCGAATTGTTGCTTGACTCGACGATAGCCATTGGTCCAGTGGTTCCATCTCGAGTCATCGCGCCGCGCGGAAAGCATTTCCATGTGCAGCAGCATTCGCGGCGCGACGGGAGTACACCTGGGCTCCGGTAATTTCAGAATGTGGGCACCGAGCCGCGTCCTTGTCGTTTTGCCCTGGGGTTGAAATTGGGGGGAACAAAAAAGTTCCCTCTAATTTCAACACTCTCACGAAAGATTTCGGGGTTTCGGACTCTTCTGAACGGAGCGAAAGCGGTTTTATTCGGTTAAAGGTATCGGAGGGTTGTTGGGAGGACCGAACCGCTCTCAACCAGGAGCCACAGATGACGACAGGGGCCTTGCAATTAGGGGGAATGAAATTATTGGAGCCCAGGTGTACAAAAGAGCTGGGGGTCGCATTGAAAACTCATCAACTCATCTTCACACATTGCAGTGAATATAGGACTTCCAGGTTTCCAACTTCTTGAAGCTCCATCCAATTCTTCATTTCCAATCTGTTACTTGAAATTCGCCCACGTGGAATTTCCAGCTGAAGCATACGCAACGCCAGCATAATGACGCAGAGTCTCTCATTTCCGTCCAGACAGCATCTTCGCCGTGACCTGAGCACGGCGTTTCTCCTCCTCTCGCTCGTCCTGCTCTCATCTCTCCATGCGGCTTTGGCCTACCGCTTCTCCGCGGGCCTCCGCACGGACAAGCTGCGAGGGATGATGCGCGGATGGGCGCAAGGCGGGAGCTCGATCGGCCAGCAGCAGCAGCAGCAGCAGCAGAGCGGCGGGATTGGTGGAAATGGTATGGGCGGCGGGGGAGGAGCGGGAGACGGCGGAATGGGAGGCAGCGGGATGGGCGGCGGCGGAATGGGCGGCGGCGGAATGGGAGGAGGCGGCATGGGTGGTGGCGGAATGGGGGTTGGCGGAATGGATGGGGGTGGAATGGGCGGCGGCGGAATGGGCGGCGGCGGAATGAGCGGCGGCGGGATGGGTGGCGGCGGAATGGGTGGCGGCGGCGGGATGGGCGGCGGCGGAATGGGCGGCGGCGGCGGAATGGGCGGCGGCGGCATGGGCGGCGGCGGAATGGGCGGCAGCATGGGCGGACCTGGTTCATCTGCTCCCGGATCGCAATCATCCATGGGTCCTGGGGGAAACATGGGCGGCCGAGGAATGGGAGGTGGCGGAATGGGCGGCGGCGGGATGGGCGGAGGAGGCATGGGTGGGGGCCGAATGGGTGGCGGCGGGATGGGCGGAGGCGGAATGGGAGGTGGCGGAATGGGCGGCGACATGGGCGGACCTGGTTCGTTTGCTCCCGGATCGCAATCATCCATGGGTCCTGGGGGAAACATGGGCGGCGGCGGAATGGGCGGCGGAGGTATGGGTGGCGGAGGAATGGGAGGCGGCGGAATGGGTGGCGGAGGCATGGGCGGCGGAGGCATGGGCGGCGGAGGCATGGGCGGGTCAGGGTGGGTTGCTCCAGGGTCGCAGGCAGCACCCGGCCAGGGTGGACCTGCGATGGGCGGAGGGATGGGCGGAGGGATGGGCGGAGGGATGGGCGGAGGGATGGGCGGAGGGATGGGCGGAGGGATGGGCGGAGGGATGGGCGGAGGGATGGGCGGAGGGATGGGCGGAGGGATGGGGGGAGGGATGGGCGGAGGGATGGGCGGCGGGATGGGTGGAGGGATGGGAGGGGCGATGGGCGGAGGGATGGGCGGAGGGATGGGTGGACCTGGGGGGAACAATGGAGGCAGTATGGGTGGACCACAGTAGTCTTCTCCTGTAAGCAAGGGGAGGTATAGGAATGGCCGCACCCCAAATGGTGCACCCTGAGTAGTGATGTCTTGGAGCATGGCCGCAGCAACACTTCCAACGCAACGGAGTGCCGCCAGGAGTGCAAATGCATCCAAGCTCCTCCCGAGCGCCTAACTCATCAAGCCAGCACAATCCCGTTCATCACATGCATCATACATATCCACAGTTGAGCTCTGCCAGCAGCATGTAACGTACCGGGAACGTTATTGCAATCATCCTGGATGTTCTAGGTTGATCTCGATTGCTTTCTTGTCATAGTTGTCTTCCTTGGGATGTGGATAGGGGTAGTCTTGTTGTAACACGGTGCCTAGTGCTTGTGGATAGGGGTAGTCTTGTTGTAACACGGTGCCTAGTGCTTACCAGTACCTGGACTGCTTGCTTGGTGTTGGGATACGGCACGAGAGGTTGATGCAAAACAAGCTCTACCAAGTGGATAGACAGTGCAATAGACAACCTTGACTCGTGTACCACCCAAGGCCAAGCTACTACTACGTCACTGAAATCCTGGCCATGACTCTTTGCCATGACACCTAATGGTCAACTGCCATTTTACCTGCCTGCCCTCTACCCTCCAGGGAATCTCCTTCGCCTCCTTTCCTCCTCCTTTTCCTCCCACATATCCTTCCATTTCTCCCTCCTCTTCATCCTCCTCTTCTCCTCTCTCTTCCTCCTCCCTCCATTCCTCCTCTCTCCTCCTCTCCTCCCTCTTCTCCTCCCTCCTCCTCTCCAACCTCTTCATCTCCTCCCTTCTCTTCCCCTCTATCCTCTCCTCCACCCTCCTCTCATCCCTCCCATCCTCCTCCTCTTCCACTCTTCCACTACCTCGCCTTCCCCCCCTTCCCTCAGTCCAACCCCTCTCCTCCTCCCTCCCTCACCTTCTCTCTCTCCAATGCACCACCACCCATCGCCTCTCCCACTCGCTCTCTCACCACACTCTCTAATGCACCACCACCCATTGCCTCTCCCAATCGCTCCCTCAACTCATGCATCTCCCGCCTCACCTTCTCCCGCTCCTCCTCTCCCTCACCACCTCAGCAATGACTGCTCTCTCTCCATCTCTTATTTCATCCAACAGCCTTCTCAACTCACTCCAATTCACTGCTCTTTCCCCCTCAACCTCCTCTCTCCTTGCTGGTGCAAGCTGCATACCAAGGGCGCTTATTCTGCTCTCCAGTACTTGCTTCAGCGTCTCTCTTCCCACCCTTGGCCTGAGAATCACAACAAGTGCTTCACCCACGCTTCTCATCCCTGAAGTGCACAGCTCCCTGAACGCAACAGCACATTGGAAAGGAAACAGATGAAGGAATCGAGATATGCAAGCAAATGTGAGACGGGAAGGGGAAATAGAGGAGCAACACACAAGAAGAAAAGGGTTACGGTAGTTGGTACGAGCAGAAGAAAAAGGGTTACGGTAGTTGGTACGAGCAGAAGAAAACGGGTTACGGTAGTTGGTACGAGCAGAAGAAAAAGGGTTACGGTAGTTGGTACGAGCAGAAGAAAAAGGGTTACGGTAGTTGGTACGAGCAGAAGAAAAAGAGTTACGGTAGTTGGTACGAGAAGAAGAAAAAGAGCTACGGTAGTTGGTACGAGAAGAAGAAAAAGAGTTACGGTAGTTGGTACGAGCAGAAGAAAAGAGTTACGGTAGTTGGTACGAGCAGAAGGAAAAGAGTTACGGTAGTTGGTACGAGCAGAAGAAAAAGAGTTACGGTAGTTGGTACGAGCAGAAGAAAAAGAGTTACGGTAGTTGAACGAGCAGAAGAAAAAGAGTTACGGTAGTTGGTACGAGCAGAAGAAAAAGAGTTACGGTAGTTGGTACGAGCAGAAGAAAAGAGTTACGGTAGTTGGTACGAGTAGAAGAAAAAGAGTTACGGTAGTTGGTACGAGAAGAAGAAAAAGAGTTACGGTAGTTGGTACGAGCAGAAGAAAAAGGGTTACGGTAGTTGGTACGAGCAGAAGAAAAAGAGTTACGGTAGTTGGTACGAGAAGAAGAAAAAGAAAAAGTTACGGTAGTGGTACGAGCAGAAGAAAAAGAGTTACGGTAGTTGGTACGAGCAAAAGAAAAAGAGTTACGGTAGTTGGTACGAGCAGAAGAAAAAGGGTTACGGTAGTTGGTACGAGCAGAAGAAAAAGAGTTACGGTAGTTGGTACGAGCAGAAGAAAAAGAGTTACGGTAGTTGGTACGAGAAGAAGAAAAAGGGTTACGGTAGTTGGTACGAGAAGAAGGAAAGGCATGCTTGCACGCAGCATTCAACTCAGAGAACAGAACAGGAGTCTGTTTTTGAGTCGACTCAAAAACAGAATTCAACGCAGTGAACAGAACAGGAGTGGCAGTGAGATGTGACAGAAGCAGCATCCCACGCAGCTGGTAAAGCATGTCATTCCTTCTCACATGGCTCTGTGGAGATAGGGGGAGATTCCAAGTGTCTGTGGCATGGTGGGGAGAGAGACGACACAGAATAGACACGAGGAAGAGAAGAAGGAGAAAATTTGAGACTGGGGGCAACTGAAGTGGAGCGGGATGAATTGAGTGAATAGAGGAGGCGGTCGGATTGAAGGAGGTGTTGAGGGTGCTGTGTGCAGAGACGGATGTTGGATGGACCTACTTGGAAGCAATGCATCGGGATGAGCGACAGGCAGTCATGACAAGAGGAGATGAAACCAGAGACTAATACAGAGCTATTGAGCATAAAGCAACAAAAATGCAGCTTATGGCACGATGAACGAGTCATGGCATGAACTGCATAACCCAGGGCATACCACGAGAGACACATCTGCTCTCCTCAGCTTCATCAGCTTCGGCCTCATAGCAGAGCCCTGTTGCTGCGACATGCCTTCACAGCTGAATGCTGTTTCTGCAACCACTCTCTCACAGCTGACCACTGTCGCTGCACCCACTCCGTCACAGCTGATTGCTGCTGCTGCACCCACGCCCTCACTTGTGCTTGAGACACGTCCATCCACCAGAGCAGCCCTAGGAGAGGGCACAGTGCTGTGTAGAAGATGTAGAGCTGTGGGGGGATGGCCACACACGCATGCACACACAACCGCGCGCGCACAACCACACACGCACATGCAAATGCAACCACACACACACGCGCACACACGCGCGCACACACGTGCGCGCACACGCTCACGCTCATGCACATCCACACGCACACACTCATGTCCACGCACACACCCACGGCCACACTCACCCACACATCCCCACACATCCACAGACACACACACACACACACACACACACACACACACACACCCACACACACACACATGCACACACACACATGCACACACACACATGCACACGCACACCCACATGTGCACACCCAAGCGCGCACACACACATGAACACACAACCACATGCACACTCACACACAGCAACAACACAGAGTGGCAACACATGCAACACGCACTGTGGAATTAGAGAGCACGAATATTACAGTGCAGCACAGTGAATTAGAGAGCACGAATATCACAGTGCAGCACAGTGGAATGGGAATAGAACGGGCCTGAAGAAACAGTTGGATATCACAAATAGTACTGTTGTCACTCATGGTTGGAGGGGGGCAATCATGCACGAGTGAGTGTGACGAGCATGACTCACGAGTGAGCGCGCACGCACAGGGTTAGAAGGAGGTCAAGAGCCAGAGCGCGTAACGAGACAGGTTGAACTGAAGAGTCTGCGCTTTCCCCGCCTGAAATGCAAAGGGGGGTTGCAACGGGTGAGAGAGAGTAGAGGTGAGAAGAAAGGTGTTAGAACGGGTGAGAGAGAGCAGAGGTGAGAAGAAAGGTGTTAGAACGGGTGAGAGAGAGCAGAGGTGAGAAGAAAGGTGTTAGAACGGGTGAGAGAGAGCAGAGGTGAGAAGAAAGGCGTTAGAAAGGGTGAGAGCAGAAAGGAAGGTGTCAGAACAGGTGATGGTTCATGGTTGATGGTTCATGGAAGATGGTTCATGGTTGATGGTTCATGGTTGATGGTTGATGTGAGCTGAGTTTGGCCTTGTGCTATAACATAGCTCACAGCCATCACAAACCTCCGCTCTGCCTCACTGCTTCACTGCCTCATTATGCTGTATAATGCTGGAAAACAGACCGAGATTGCAGACTCGCTCTATTCCTGCTGTAAGTTGGAATTAATATTAAGGCGCCGCAAAGATCGCCTCAAAAACTCCTGACGAGGGGTGAAATCAGCCACATACCTGGAGCGTGATGCCGTTGCTGTCAGGCGGAGCATGTCTCGGCGGCAGCAGCCTCGATACAGTCACAGCAGCAAGAATCGCTGCGATTGACAGCCCTGCCCCAGCCACAGCCACTCCAGCAACTCGAGGCATACCGCGCGATCAGCTAGGAAGAATCAGGAAGGATTATCAAAACGTGAGAACGGAGCTTAGAAGGGGAGAAGGTGGTAAGAGGGGAGGAGATTGAGGTGGTGGGTGCTGGAGCAAGCCACAGGGCTTGAACAGTGGAAAGGCTGGGAGGCTGGGAGGCTTGAAAGTTTTAGGGCAGTCGGGTGGTTGGGCTTGGCTTGGCGACTAAGGCAGGGCAGGGGAGAGAGCAGGGCAGTATGGAAGGGACATCACGCAGGCAGGCATCACGGGTGTTGAAAAGCTCTGCGTGATGGCGGAGCTTGGTAGGGTGGAGCTGCGCATGACGGGGCTGCGCATGGCGGAGCTGCGCATGGCGGAGCTGCGCATGGCGGGGCTGCGCATGGCGGGGCTGCGCATGGCGGGGCTGCGCATGGCGGGGCTGCGCATGGCGGGGCTGCGCATGGCGGGGGCTGCGCATGGCAGACCCCAGTCCATCCGGGTCATCCCCGAGCTCAGTGACGCGCTTGCATGCAATGCAAGTCGCAACGTTTGCGAGTCCCGGCGAGGAGCGAAACCAGAAGCACGGCATGCGAGGGGGTGGATGGACTGAAGTGGGCTCCGATGCCACGAGAGAGCATCGAAATCCTTTTAAAGCAACAGTATACTTTTGCAAGCGGGGGTTTCAAAAACCTTAGGAACTTGAAAAACTGGTTACGCGATTACAACCCCAACCCCCCCTTGTTGAGAGGCGAAGGAGTTCCCAAACGCCCCACGTCCGGCTCCCCGCACTCACAGTTCAAAACCTTAGGAATTGCAAAAGGAAACTGAAACTGCGGTAGTGAGAGAATAGCCCACACACTCCTACTTCAGTATGTCATTCCGCGTAGACTAGGCAGCATTCTAACCTAACAGCTAGAATTAGGGACAACATCTGTTACTGAACCACGTAACGATGTTTCCTCGCATGCGCGGACAAATCGCCACGCCTACGCACTCGCTTAGGCCACGCCACCTTAGACAAGGCCGCCCCACGCCTCCTCTCGCTACCTCACCGCAAGGCCATTAGCGACAGCGCCTCCCCTCCCCACAACGTCCCGTTTAGCCTCGACGCGCTAGCATCTGCATCCTATCCCTTCCTCCACTCCTAGCTCGCCGTCCGCCGTTCGCCGCGCGCGGTGAGCCGCTGCTTCCCGCTCGCCGCTCGCGTGCCCTCCCTTTCACGTTCGCCGTCCGTTGTTCGCCTTTCGCCGGACGACGTCCGGATTGAGACTCCTCTCGCCGAACCACGCTGCCTCGTTCTGGTTTATACCCATTCGCGGCTGCACGAATGCTTCTTTACCAGCTGGGTTCATCGGACTGGGCTCTACGTCTCCTCACGCGGCCCCATCGCGACCACCGCCACGCCCATCTCCCTTCCCGCCACGAAAACTCCTCTTCCCGCCACGTCATCTCCCCTTCCCGCCACTCCATCCCCCCTTCTCGCCACGTCATCCCCCCTTCTCGCCACGCCATCTCCCCTTCCCGCCACGAAAACTCCCCTTCCCGCCACGTCATCTCCCCTTCCCGCCACTCCATCCCCCCTTCTCGCCACGTCATCCCCCCTTCCCGCCACGCCATCTCCCCTTCCCGCCACGCCTACTCCCCTTCCGAGCACGCCCTCATTTCCCCTGCACGCCCTTATTTCCCCCCCTGCACGCCCTTATTCCCCCCCTGCACGCCCTCGTTTCTCCCCCTCGAACGCCCTCATTTCCCCCTTGCACGCCTCATCCCCCCCTTTCACGCCTTCATTTCCCCCTTGCACGCCCTCGTTTCCCCCCCCTGCACGCCCTCGTTTCCCCCCCTGCACGCCCTCGTTTCTCCCCCTCGAACGCCCTTATTTTCCCCTTGCACGCCCTCATTTTCCCCTTGCCCGCCCTCATTTCCCCCTTGCACGCCTTCATTTCCCCTTGCACGCCTTCATTTACCCCTTGCGCGCCCTCATTTCCCCCTTGCACGCCTTCATTTCCCCCCCCTGCACGCCCTCATTTCCCTCTTTTCCCCATCTCCCCTCCCCATCTCCTCATCCCACCACCTCTCCCTGCCTTCCCATCTCTTCTCTTTTCCAGGGCCTGTTATCCGCAACCCGCCCTCTTCAAACTGCTCCTCAAGCGCTGTCCTCATCAGCACCACCACTCTACCTCCCGCTCTCTGTGCCTCTTCCCTCCTTTGTCACTGGTCCACGCTTTGTCGTGCTTCTTGCTCTTCACATCCCCTTTTCCTCCTTCCTCCAGATCGCCCCATCCCTCTCTCTCGCTCCCAATTTTTCCTCCATGTCTCCCCATGTTATTTTCCTTCCCACCGCCCACGGGTTTGGGACGAGGCCCGTCTGCCCTCTCACACTCGCCATGCGTCGCCATGCACTCGTCCTGCCATTCTGACTCAACCTGCAATTCTCACCGCCATCCCTCCCTGCCTTTCCATCACACCTCCCTGCCTTTCCATCACACCTCCCTGCCTTTCCATCACACCTCCCTGCCTTTCCATCACACCTCCCTGCCTTTCCATCACACCTCCCTGCCTTTCCATCACACCTCCCTGCCTTTCCATCACACCTCCCTGCCTTTCCATCACACCTCCCTGCCTTTCCATCACACCTCCCTGCCTTTCCATCACACCTCCCTGCCTTTCCATCACACCTCCCTGCCTTTCCATCACACCTCCCTGCCTTTCCATCACACCTCCCTGCCTTTCCATCACACCTCCCTGCCTTTCCATCACACCTCCCTGCCTTTCCATCACACCTCCCTGCCTTTCCATCACACCTCCCTGCCTTTCCATCACACCTCCCTGCCTTTCCATCACACCTCCCTGCCTTTCCATCACACCTCCCTGCCTTTCCATCACACCTCCCTGCCTTTCCATCACACCTCCCTGCCTTTCCATCACACCTCCCTGCCTTTCCATCACACCTCCCTGCCTTTCCATCACACCTCCCTGCCTTTCCATCACACCTCCCTGCCTTTCCATCACACCTCCCTGCCTTTCCATCACACCTCCCTGCCTTTCCATCACACCTCCCTGCCTTTCCATCACACCTCCCTGCCTTTCCATCACACCTCCCTGCCTTTCCATCACACCTCCCTGCCTTTCCATCACACCTCCCTGCCTTTCCATCACACCTCCCTGCCTTTCCATCACACCTCCCTGCCTTTCCATCACACCTCCCTGCCTTTCCATCACACCTCCCTGCCTTTCCATCACACCTCCCTGCCTTTCCATCACACCTCCCTGCCTTTCCATCACACCTCCCTGCCTTTCCATCACACCTCCCTGCCTTTCCATCACACCTCCCTGCCTTTCCATCACACCTCCCTGCCTTTCCATCACACCTCCCTGCCTTTCCATCACACCTCCCTGCCTTTCCATCACACCTCCCTGCCTTTCCATCACACCTCCCTGCCTTTCCATCACACCTCCCTGCCTTTCCATCACACCTCCCTGCCTTTCCATCACACCTCCCTGCCTTTCCATCACACCTCCCTGCCTTTCCATCACACCTCCCTGCCTTTCCATCACACCTCCCTGCCTTTCCATCACACCTCCCTGCCTTTCCATCACACCTCCCTGCCTTTCCATCACACCTCCCTGCCTTTCCATCACACCTCCCATCCTTTCCATCACAGTCCCTGCCTTTCCATCACACCTCCCTGCCTTGCCTCCCATGGGTATAGGGCCCCATTACTTACCGCTGTGACACCAGGTGTCATTCAACCCGTACCAGGCGGGTATGCATATGCAAAGCTGCCGGTTTTGCGTCCAAGTCAGCACCATATAAGTGTGCCAATTCCCTCTGCTCCAGCGACAAGCACGACAACGCCTGGGCCAAGCGAGCTTGGCAGTGCTGTTTAGTATACTTAGAGATGATTGTATGTGTACATACGATACAACTCAATGTTCCTTTTGGACATCATTGCTGTGCTCATTTTCAGCTGTAGAGATGGCTTATAGAAAGGGGACAGACACCTGAAAGACAGATCACGTGGTACATATCAGATGCATGTGAACATCATTTGCAATAGAACTGTGATGTAACATTCAACTACTTTCAACACACAGTGGGAGCACATGCAAGCCTAGACTGAAGAGGACTGGTCCATCTTGTTCCATGCTGCACTTGAGATCCCTCAGTATGGAAAGGGAAGGCGGTAAACACGGTACTGGTGGTGAGGGTAGAGGGGAAGAGAGAGGGTAAGCAAAGGGAGGAGGGAGCATAAGCAGGGTAAAAAGGGAGGACAGAGAATAAGCAAACTCGAAGGAGCTGATTGGATTGTAAGGGGGTGGAGAGGCATTGCGGCAAGCAGAGGGGGAAAATGAGCGAAAGGAGGGTGAGAAATAGGGGAAGCAGGTGGGAAAGGGAGGATAAGCATGGGGGGAAAGGAGAGGAGGCAGGGGGGGAAAGGAAGGGAAGCCGTGGGGGAAAAGGGGGGAAGCAGGGAGGGAAAGGAGGTGAAGGAGGGGCGGTAAGGAGGTGAAGCATGGGGGTGAAGGAGAGCAAGCAAGGGGGGGAAAGCAGGGGAAAACAGGGGATGTGGGGGGAAGCGAAGAGAAGCATGGGGGGCAAGGAGGGGAAGCAGGTGGAGAAAGGAGGGCATGCAGGGGGGGGAAGGAGGTGAAGCATAAGGGGAAAGGAGGGGAAGAAGAGGGGGAAATAAGGGGAAGCAGAGGGGGTAACGAGGGGGAGCAGAGGGGGAAATAAGGGGAAGGAGAGGGGGGAACGAGGGGGAGCAGAGGGGGAAAGAAGGGGAAGGAGAGGGGGAAACGAGGGGAAGCAGAGGGGGAAACAAGGGGAAGGAGAGGGGGGAACGAGGGGGAGCAGAGGGGGAAACAAGGGGAAGGAGAGGGGGAACGAGGGGGAGCAGAGGGGGAAACAAGGGGAAGGAGAGGGGGGAACGAGGGGGAGCAGAGGGGGAAAGAAGGGGAAGGAGAGGGGGAAACGAGGGGAAGCAGAGGGGGAAACAAGGGGAAGGAGAGGTGGGAACGAGGGGGAGCAGAGGGGGAAATAAGGGAAGGAGAGGGCGGAACAAGGGGGAGCAGAGGGGAAATAAGGGGAAGGAAAGGGGGGAACGAGGGGGAGCAGAGGGGGAAACAAGGGGAAGGAGAGGGGGGAACGAGGGGAGCAGAGGGGGAAAGAAGGGGAAGGAGAGGGGGAAACGAGGGGAAGCAGAGGGGAAACAAGGGGAAGGAGAGGTGGGAACGAGGGGGAGCAGAGGGGGAAATAAGGGAAGGAGAGGGCGGAACGAGGGGGAGCAGAGGGGGAAATAAGGGGAAGGAAAAGGGGGAACGAGGGGGAGCAGAGGGGGAAACAAGGGAAGGAGAGGGGGGAACGAGGGGGAGCAGAGGGGGAAACAAGGGGAAGGAGAGGGGGAACGAGGGGAAGCAGAGGGGGAAACAAGGGGAAGGAGAGGGGGAACGAGGGGGAGCAGAGGGGAAACAAGGGGAAGGAGAGGGGGGAACGAGGGGGAGTAGAGTTGGAAATAAGGGGAAGGAGAGGGGGGAACGAGGGGAAGCAGAGGAAGAAATAAGGGGAAGGAGAGGCTGGAACGAGGGGGAGTAGAGGGGGAAATAAGGGGAAGGTGAGGCGTTAAGCGGTGAGGCACTAAGCGGTGAGGCGCTAAGCGGTGAGGCGCGCAGCGGGGTAGGAGAGACGCGGGTGACGCGCTAAGAGGGTGTTGCGAGCTGCCGGTTCGGCGATCGAGCTGCGGGTTCGGCGATCGAGCTGCGGGTTCGGCGATCGAGCTGCGGGTTCGGCGAGAACGTCGCCGGCGACGGGAACGCATGGAATGCGGCGCTTAGGACGAAGGCTAGTCCTACATCTATTGCGAGGCCTTTGAACGAGTCTATTCATGAGAGAGTGAGGTGTTTGTAGAAATGGTTTCTAAGTAATCTCGCGAGCCAGCCTTGTGACACTTGTCGCCTCGACACCAGCGTTTTTCTTTAGCGCCAGCGCTGTTCCTCGCCGCCCTAGTTGCCTATTGTATAGTTGTATCGAAGGCCTTTCCTAAAAATTAGTCGCTCCGTTGGTCTGTTCGTGTCACTCCAGGGCTTGGGTTGACGGGAGACTTTCTCGTGTTCGCAACAATCAGCCATCCAAATTTTCGCCGATTCTCTCGCCAAGCCCATTCGCTTTTCGTTTGGGTTTGCTTTTTGGGTACTGTTCCAAAACAAACAGTACTTTCAAATGTATACCGCCGCTTTAAGGCTCTCCGCGCGCGTGCTCGCGCGATGACCACGGCATGCGGCGGAGTTGCTGTGCGAGGAGGTTACGTCAAAATCGATTTCGCGGAAGTCCCCAGTGTTCTTGCCTTGTTTCAGGACTACGCCTGCCCTAGCGTCCAGCGCCCGTTGCCCTTCAAGATGGCCGAGCGAATTGCGGTATCGCAAAATCTCTTCCAAGATCTTCGTGATGAACTCAAATTGCTTGACGTCAATCCCTCCTAAGACTTCTGTCGGAACAGCTGTCGGAAGTTTGGCCCTTTTCCAACCAAAATGTTATGCGGGGTTGCTGCACCAGGTTTCGTTTATCCAATAACGAGGATACGAGGCTTCATAGTACCGAACTGAAGAATACTATGTATGGGCGGGGAAACGCGTTCTAGCCATCTTCCACGCCTTGTTCACGTGTTGCTCTCGCTTAGTGAAATGCGACGGATTACGATTGATGCGACGTGTGCAATGAGTCGGACACCCCTGACGACTGTTTAGTCTCATCGCACACGGGACCTAGGATTCGTAGATGTTGTGAGTCCGCAGACGTGTTATTCTAGAATATGCGTTTTTCCGCTGGCAGTTTGGGCCTCATGCCACCAATGAGGGAGGATGGGTGTTGGATGGACGAAAATGTGGGTTCGCACGACGAGAGTCGCGACGGGCCTCAGCTGGCGATTGGTGCAATCTCCCGATCCGGCATTCGATGGAGGGACCGACGTCGAGATTCGTTAGTCCTGGGCAAAGTTCATCGACGATGGAGATGATGATGACGTGTCGAAATTCGCATCCTACGGTTTCTGTCCACCACACCTTCGCATGAGACGGTCACCACGGTGGTGCTCATCAGCTGCTCGCTGCGACCCGGAAGTGACGTTATCTTTGATCTGCCATCACTCCTGCCACGTCCATGCATGATGTCGAATGACGTCATCATGCTGAGGCATGACCGTCACGGCAGCAAGCACACGGGCCACGCATGACAGCAATTTGAAATGCTCGGCAGGCTACTCGGATCGGGTCTGCTCGTTGTCGCGCTGTCGACTGCATGCCTGCCGTTGCTTCCTCTCCTGATGGCTGGCGTTCCTGCCTTCCCTGCATGCCTTAACATGTATTTCCTGTCCGATCTTGTCGTCATCCTCATGCTCCATGCTTTTATGTAGTGAATCGCTCGCACATCGTCCCTCGTCTTTCCCTCGTCTTTTCCTCGTCCACGCTTCTTCGAGCTCATGAATCTCGACTATATCTCTCCATTGTCATTCGAGCTCACCGAATACCACCTCGTGTTCGCCCCATGGATGAATAATCTCTCTCTAGTCGTCCATCTCGTGTTTCATCTCCAGCACTGCTCGTTTTCCTTGGTCTCTCATCCGCAACCGCTCCAAGCGTGGTGCTGCTCGGCTCGGCTGGTACTTTCTCCATGGCGCGAATGGCTGGAGTGGTTACGGCGTTGGCAGGGCTGCTAGTCGCAGTAATTCTTGCTGCTATGACAACTTCGAGGCTGCTGCTGCCGGTGAAAAATGGCCCTCTTGCTAGCTTTGCCAGCAATGAATTGCCACACCATGTATGAGTCAGATTGAGACCGTTTTGGATCTACACTGAAATCTCGGTCGGGATTGTGTGCGCTTGAGCATCACGAGGCGGAGCTGGTTTACTTTTCGCAGTGCTGGATTTTATGCTATGTGATGCTATCCAAAGCATGGAGATGACATGGTTTTTGAGAATTCTCAAAAATCACTCACAAGACCGCCATGCCATGTGGAGCTCGTTTCACCCATCAACCTCTGCCCTCACCTTTTCCTCTCACCTTTCCTGTTCCTTGCCTTTTGCAGCTTCCACAAGACCCTCCCAGCTTGGATTTGGAAGCAAACCACTCTCTCGTGAATCAACCGACTACGACAACCCTCGTTGAGGTAGCGCGCACAACCCACGTGTTCAACATAGGTGCGATTCACATCATGCCTACCATGCGTGTTCCCTGCTCAGCCTCGGGAACAGGTGGGTGTGCCTTGGGGCATTAGAATTGTCACATTAACATCTCTCTGATACTTTTTTTTTTTTTTTTTTTGGGCAAGGATTGGCTGTACTTGATGTGTATCTGTATTACCATGTGAAATTTGTTCTGTTTCCTCCCTCCAGCCCAATGGCACTGCCGTGGTTCACAATGTCACAGGCCTGGCTCGTCTTCAGCCCCACGAAGGCGCAGAGCCTTCAGTTCAACCTGCCCGTTTTCAAGCTCTGCCACTTTATCTCCTGCACACTCTAGTGCGTCCACTCTCTCCCTCGTGCTTCAGTTAACTTTCTTGTCAATTCATTACTTACACTCTGACAAACTCTCGCCAATTTTTTGGTTGTCATCCTTGATTTTCTCCTCTCACCGGAGAACTCACTGCCCTGTTCTGTGCACATGTGTGTGACCCCAGCTGTACGTACTATACACAGCACTGTGTCCGCTCATAGTGTTCCTCTGGTGGATGAACGTCACTCAAGCACAAGTGTGGGAGTGGTTGCGCCTGCAGGGCTTGGCTGCGACAGCTAAGCTGACGATGCTGAAGAGAGCAGCTGCATCCTTCATGGTATGCGCTGAGTCGTCTGCTTGCTTGGTTGTATCTGACCAGTGGTGTGTTGGTACTGTGAGGGTATGTATTGAGTCATGTCCTTGATACTGCTAGAGTGATGAGGCATGAGGTTTTCCTTGAGTCGTTATCATGCCACTCTGATTGTTCGGTTCCTTATTTCAACCTAAATCATTCTCTGATTTCAACCATTGTTCTCTCTTATGGGACTGATTTCCATCTGTGTGCCTGTGTCGATTCGTCCCATTTCGATCGCACCAAGCATTCCTCCCTTTCTCCCTACTCTCTCCTGCTTCCCTCCTCATTGCTCTCCCTTTCTCCTGACGCGGTGCCTCCTCTACCTGCCACAGGAACTTGAAAACTACCCACTCCTCCACAAAGCCATGTGAGGGCCTTTCCTGCCCTACCCTCTCTCCCACCTTTCCTCCCATTCCGTCTTTCCTTTTCATCAAAACATTCAACGTTCGTATCTGTAATAAGCTGCTCAATATCATTGTGTGCTCTCGCAAGGCTTATTAATAACCCCACCCCCTTAGTTTCCCTCGCATGGGAGTTTTCCCCCCTCTTGTCCATGATGCGTGCATGGTTGTTCGGTGCTCCTAAGCACTCACTTCTTCTTCCTGCATCGTATTCCCTTGAATGCGTCTCGTGTGCTGCTCCATGCTTCGTCATGCTGCCATGCGCCCCCTTGTGTCATTAGCAGTGAGAATGGCAGGTTTGGAAAAAAGATGATGAATAAGGCTTTGGTGGTAGTACTGAGACAAAGAGCGGGAACAGACTCGCTGGAAAAGGCTATGGAGATTGTAGAGGAGAGAATCAGCGCATTGGAGAGGCAACTGGAAGATTCAAGGAAGAAACTCGAGGAGCGTGAGAGGGTAGAAGCTGGGGTGAGAAGAGAAGTGCACGAGACGAAAGGTGAATTGCAAGCACTGAAAAGGGAGCTGGAGCAAGAGAGGGAGGAGAAGGGTGAGCGAGGTGAGAGAGCACAAGCTGAGCTAAATGAGCTGAGTAGGCAGGTGCAGAAGACAAAAGATGAAGCGCAAGCACTGATGAGGGAGCTGGAGCAAGAGAGGGAGGAGAGGAGGAGAGGGGTGAGCGAGTTGACAGACGCACTGGCTCAGGGAAATGCAGCCATGGAGCGAATGCAGAGGGAAGCAGGTGAGAGGGATATGGCTGTGCATGCGCTCAAGCTCGCTGTGGAGTGGGTGGTGCAAATAGCTCCCTGTAAACTGGAGCTGGTGGCTGTTAAGGCAGCTTTGGCTGCATTGAAAGAAAGAGTTCATGGTCTCAAGACAGCTGCAGAAAGGGAGATGCATCAAGTTCGGGAACAAAGGGGGAGAGAGTTGGCGGAAGTGAAACAGGAGTTGGCAGCAGTGAGACGAGAGGTATGTGAGAACAAGTCAGCGTCTCAGAGGAAGTTGAACGAGATAAGAAACGTCATTGGTGTGGTGGAACATAGAAACGGCTGCACTGCTGCAAGCATGGTGGAGAGGGAGAAGGAGTTGGCTGCAGTGAAGTTGCAGGTGGCGGAATTGAGTGAGTTTAGTGAGGGCAAGTTGGCAACAGCGAGCCAGGATTTGTCTCAACAGATTATAGCGGAGGTGGATGAGATAAGGATGAAGTTTCAGGAGAGAAACGCCAAGATTGAAGCTGTGCTGAAGCGAACGGAGAGGGAGTGTGCAGCAGTGAAGCAGCAGTTGGCTGAGTTCAGAATGGCTGCAAAACAAGAGGCGAATGAACTGAGGGACATAGTGGGAGCTTTGCAGGAAGGCAGTGAGGACGGTGCTGCGATGGTGAGGGAAGAAGGCGGAAGGGAGCTCATCAAACAAGGCTGTGAGGCCGTGTGGAACAGAACGGCGAAAGGAGGACACCGCGAGGGGGCTGGTCGAGCAATCTGGCAGGTGAGTGCCATTTTTGAACCCATATGAACTGTTCTATTCTTAATACGTTAACTTCTGTTGTTATCCTTTCTCCTTTGTCATCTTCTTGTTTTTGTTCCCTTCCCCCTCGCACGTGGTAGAGTTATCATGACTTTTGAACCTCCCCGCCCCGGTTTCATCCCCGCCAGAGACTCGAGTCCCCCTCAGGGAAGACCAGGCTTGATCTGAGCAGTCTTTCTGGGCTCTCTGATGACGTCCTTGCGCTTGTATCCACCATGACTCACCTTACCGCTCTCAACCTGGCTGGATCCTCGGGCTTCACTGCAAAGGGCATCAGTTGCCTTAACAAGCTGCTATGGCTGCAGAAGCTGCACCTGAGTGGCACAACTGTTTCAGATGAGCACTTGAAAGGCATTGAGGCATTGAGCAGGCTCGAGTGTCTCTCCCTCGCGAACACCAAGGTGACCGATTCTGGCCTGGTGAACCTCGTGAAGCTACCCTCCCTCAAGCGATTGGAGCTTGCTGGCTGCAGTTGTGTCACATCTGCTGGGATGGCGCATGTGGGAAAGATCACCACCCTTAAACAGGTGGATTTGCGGCGCACTGGGGTGGCGGATAATGGGTTGCAGCAGCTTACCTCCCTGTTGAAGCTAGAGGAGCTGCTCTTGTCCTCTGGGAGGTGCGTCAACCACAAGATGCTTTGCCTCCGGCTGGCCTGGCATGGGAATAGCAAGAAAAGGGAGAGGGATTTTGCGAAGGAGAATGGGCGGTGGGGGATGGGTGTTGTTGGACAGGAGGTGGTGGAAGGGGTTTGTAAGGGGAGGAGGGAGAAGGGGAGAGAGATGAGGAAGGGTGGGAGGGAGAGGTGGGACAATGCATGAGTGCGAGCTCGCAGGGTGATGCCGAATAAGGAGATGGAGGCATGGCAGGGGGATTACATTGCGGGGAGAGAGCAAAGGCAGAAGCACGCTGATAAAGCAGAATGTTAGGAGAGAGCAAAGGCAGAAACAAGAAGTATTCTCGCTCTTTTCATAGTTTTCCCTGGAGCACGTAGATGTGCTGAATAGGTAGGGTGAAGACTGCTGTTCCATTGTTGTATTGCCAGCGGTGGTTGCGTCATCCATAGCGTTGGCATTAATTACCTTCCCGCCTTTTTGGTTTGAGGTTGATTAATTCTGATATTGTAATTCCCCAAATAAAGGACCCTCTACAAAAGAACGTATTTTGGATCTTTGATCTGTAAGAACTCCCCTTTCGGCATACGCATATTTAAAACTTTCCTTCCGTGTCAACTGTGGTAATCTACAGAAGCACCCTTTTATGCACTTGTGTACAAGTGGGTTTGGAATTTGAGGCACCGGTACTGGTTGTACCGTATTTACCCGACTAATACACCCCCGGGTTTTATCCTACCCCGGGTAAAATTACGGGGTGTATTTATTATCAGGGTGTAAATGTATTAAACCGGGGTTTAATCCCATGTGTTGTTTTTTCCTCTAAGGCAGAATCAAACACTAGTGTTATAGCTCGAACAGAACATTCGCAATGTCGCATTAGAAGCTAAAATTGACCACGCGCGTGCGCGAGACCAGCGCGTGGCGATTGACAGCTGTCAGACGGAAATTACAAACTCGGTTGACTTTTTCCTCCTACTATTTCACTCGATATGGAGGGTGTTTACAGAAGGGGGGTCTAATGCGAATCCGTTACAAAAAAGCGGGTTTATTACAAAAGTGCAGATAGGATTAGACCCGCCCCGGGGGGCTATAATTTTGGGGGGGCTAATAGTCGGGTAATTACGGTATGTGGCAAGGTACTCTCACTAGTGGTATAACAAAATCTGGCGTGAGCTGAGCTTGGTGGATGAAATATTGAGATGTGATGTGATCTTGTATCGAGGCATACATGCCGCGTGGGGTGAGTGGTGCAGCTTGTGGGCCTCAGGCTACAGACTGAATCACAACAGCACAAGGCTCTTGTGAGTGTGTGTGTGCACGCATGCCGATTGTACCATGCAGCTTATGGGGCCTAGCGGTGATACCGTAAGACCGCATGTCCCCCATCGTGTTCAATCAGTACAGGTGAAAGCGAATGGTGGTGACTGATGTGAGCTGAACTGCTGTGTGAGTTGAACTGCTGTGTGAGTTGAACTTTTGTGTGAGTTGAACTGCTGTGTGAGTTGAACTGCTGTGTGAGTTGAACTGCTGTGTGAGTTGAACTACTGTGTGAGTTGAACTGCTGTGTGAGTTGAACTGCTGTGTGAGTTGAACTGCTGTGTAAGTTTAACTGCTGTGTGAGTTGAACTGCCGTGTGAGTTGAATTGCTGTGTGAGTTGAACTGCTGTGTGAACTGCAACGCCATGGACATACCTTAGGACTCTCCTCAACAAGCACACCATCAAGTTTCAGAGAACGGCAAAAATCAGCCACATACCTGTCAGAAATTAATGAGCAGGAATGACTTCACTAGCAAGAAATGAGAGTACAAGTACCTAACCCTAAAAGGGTTGTACTCTATATGGGCTACCCCACGACACCATACAGACATAGAAATTAATTTTGACACACCCCCATAGGCAAAGTGGGGGATAGCAAGAGCAAGCAATAATCACAAGACCAGTCAAGAGCAACAAAGCAAGCTCAGGGTGGATCACAAAGTCACCACACAGTCTGAGCAAAAGTAAGCGGCCACAAGGCCAGCTCACATGCAGAGTTATAAAAAACACAAACAGTACAGTGATCACAACCTAGCAAATGTAAGCAGGCATGTATAGATATATATAGACCACAGTACACGGCAAAGTCAAGCAGTAAGCAAGTGAGGCAGAGTAGGCACAAGGCCTAGAGCAGTGCAAAAACGCTGGTGATCACCAGACCCTAGGGCTTTGGTGAAGATATCAGCAGTGTTGCCCTATGAGGCCACGTAAGCAAGGCGAAGCTGACCACGCTGCTGCAACTCTCGTGCGAGGAAGTAACGCAGAGCGATATGCTTCGTAATGTGCTCCTGTCTCTGCTCTTGACACAAGGCAATCATGACCTTATTGTTGACGTACAGGACTGGAGGAGAACGAGGCCGCTCACCCAAGTCGGTCAGCAGGTAGGTCAGCCAGCGTAACTCCTGTGCAGCCATGGCCCCTGCGTAGATCTCAGCCTCACAACTGGAGCTGAGAACTGAAGACGGGCGGGTTTTAGTGCCGAGGCTGAAGGTGTAACCCTGTGACGGCCGCTGAGTCGCCAGGTCGTCTGCCCAAGAAGCTTCTGAGTGTGTAGTGAGTACAATTGGACACCGTCCTCCAAGCACAAGCCTCATGCCTGATGTACTTCACAAGTAACGCATTACCTTCTGCGCAGCTGTCCAGTGCTCCTTGCGGTGTGTCCTGGGCGCAACGAAGCGAGCAAGGATGCTGAGAGGGTATGCGAGGTCAGGTCGTGTGCACGTCATCAGGTACATGAGGCAGCCTACAAGCTCTGGATACTTACCACTCGGCTCTACGGACTCGTCCGAAAGTGGAGCTGAGAGCGAGTGGTTCGTAGGCAGAGGAGTGGCCTATAGCAAGGAGAACTGAAAGCCGAAGCGCTGAAGGACCTGGTGCACCATGTGTTAATGAGTCAGAATGATGGTGCGCCGTGCTCTGTCCCGGGTGATCTGCAAGCCAAGATAGCTTTGCAGCTCACCCAGGTCGGTGCAAGTGTGTCTCTTCTGCAGCTCCGCCTTCACAAGAGCTAGTGCCTCAGTGTCGGCAGTAGAAAAAACCAAGTCGTCGACGTACACGAGGATGTAGAACGGCGACAGCGAAGGGTCACTGCGTAGAAAAAGCGACGGGTCAGCAGTCGAAGGAGCAAACCCAAGAGCCATAAGTCTAGTCCTCAGTGTGTCGTGCCACTCGCGGGGCGCCTGGCGGAGACCATAGACTGGCCGCCGGAGGCTCCACTGGGTACCCTCAGGAAACGACCTAGTGAAGCCAGGTGGGCGGCGCAACCAGATCTCCTCGTGCAGGCTGCCCTGCAATAATGCTGTGCTGAAGTCAAGTGAGTGGAGCTCGTAGTCACGCTGTGCTGCAACGTGCAGTAACACCCGAAGAGTGGTCATCTTTGGGGTGGGGGAGAAGGTCTGGAAGAAGTCGACCCCCTGTCGCTGACTGAAGCCTCGTGCAACGTAACGCGCCTTGAAGACAGGCGGAGAACCCGGCGGCCGCTTCACCCTGAAAATCCACATGCCATCGACTACGTTCGCCCTAGGTGGGGGAACTTCGTCGACGTAAGTGTCTGTGGATTTCTAGGATGCCATCTCTGCGTCCATGGCTGTTTGCCACTGAGAGGAGTAGGGACCCATGGTCGTCTCTGAATAAGAGCACGAGGTCGGGATCTCTAGTGCATCCGGGTCTCCCTCAGGGGCAAGTAGCATGGCAGCGAGATGAGGTACAGCAGCCGCAAGATGCTGAAGCTCAAACTGCCTGTCCTCAAGGACGTCCGTGCCAATAGCACACTCACCCCCGACGGACGGAGGACAGTCAGACTCAGACTCAGTGACAAGACTCGCGACGTAGTCAAGACGACACGCAGCAGCAAAGTCAACAAGCTCAGTGACTAAGGCAGACGCAGCAGCAGACTCAAAAGTAGGGTCAGTGACAAGAGTGGCGAGAACACGTGTGATAGTGGGACTAGCAGCACGAGCACGGTCAGACTCAGGGTCAGGAATCTCAGGAAGAGAGGACGCAGGAGGAGACAGCAGAGGGACACGCTGTGGAACAGAGGAAGGACGAAGTGCCATAGTGTGAGTGCCGGGGACTGGAGGAGGACGCGGACGAGGAATACGACGACCAGTGCGAACAGCACGAACGCGTGAGGCAGGACGAGACGCAGGCTCACGATGCTCTGTAAGAGAGTCTGTCTGCTCAGTATAAGGAGAAGGAGCAGGCAGCGAAGAGTCTAGCTGCAACTACGGCTGCGACTGGTCAGGCGGTGGACACAGTAAGGGAGCAATAAGGCCAGTAGAAGACGGAAGACTAAGAACCTGGCGAAGCGCCGAGCCAGGTGGTGGCAGAGACGACGGTGACGGCGGAGATTATGAAAAATAGTCGCTGCTGTGCAGTACCCCCAGCACCAGCACCTCCAGTGCCTCCAGCACCAGTACCTACAGCTCCAGTAGCTCTAGAACCTCCAGCTTCAGTGCCTCCAGCACCAGTACCTACAGCTCCAACGTCTCCAGCGCCAGCACCTACAGCTCCAGTAGCTCCAGAACCTCCAGCACCAGCACCTCCAGCACCAGTACCTCCAGCACCAGTACCTCCAGCACCAACACCTCCAGCACCAGTAACTCCAGCACCAGTACCACCAGCTCCATCGCCTCCAGCACCAGCGCCTCCAGCACCAGCACCTCCAGCACCAGCACCTCCAGCACCAGTACGCGAGCGGCACCGCCGAAGGTACCACTCACGAAGCTACTGTGGCGAGAGAGTCTCCTGCCAACGAGACTGCCGCTTCTGTCCGTCCTTAGAGCTACGAGCAGTGGTACAAACGACCCCACCGCCACTAGAACGCTCAGCACCCCCAGAACCAGCACCCCCAGACTCAGCACCCCCAGAACCAGCAGCGCCAGAGGCGTCACCCACAACGTCCGCACCCCTAGGGTCACCACCCGCAGCAGCACCAAGGTCGACAGCGACAGGCTGCAAAGGCGGCGAAGACGGTCGAGGCGGGAATCTTGGAGGGGTCTCCAAGCGAGGTAAGCGGTGAGTGGTCGCTGTGTCGTCAGCAGCAACGTCACCCCCCTCAGCTGGGCCAGAGGTGTCAGAGGTGACCTCCAAAGGCTCAACCAAGGGGGGTGGGTCTACCTGAGACACACCTGAGGGAGCAGGACCTTGAGGGGGGAGGGGGTCTACCGGAGGGGGACCTGGAGCGAGGAAGAGCGGCGGGGGGGGGGGGGGAGCAGGGAAGTGCGGTAAGGAAAGAGACGGTAGAAGGAAATCGACTCGTCAACGGTGACGTCC